TCTCAGTTCACGACGGTCTGCTGTACCACGGATTTCGGATCGTAGTCCCGGCATCCGAGCGCAAAGCTACACTTGCCACTTTGCATGACGGCCACCAAGGCATAACCAAGTGCCTGGCCCGTGCGAAATCCTCCGTCTGGTGGCCAGGTATCACACGTGCCATTTCAGAATGCGTGCAGAACTGCCTGACCTGCACCAAGCATCGTTTTCAGCCGCCAGAGCCTCTGTCTCCAACTGTGTTTCCCTCTTTGCCATGGGAGAGAATAGGAGTCGACCTCTGCCAACATGACGGTCAGGAGTACCTCATTGCTGTCGACTACTTCTCCAGGTACATTCACGCCATCCCGCTACGGAAGACTACCTCTGGAGCCGTCATCAAGGAACTCCACGAGCTGTTCGCCATCCATGGCATCCCTCAAGCTCTTGTGTCGGACAACGGTCCACAGTTCGCAAGTGCTGAATTCGCCGCATTCACAGCCCAAATGCAGCTCACCCACCGCACCAGTAGCCCGCACTACCCACAGAGCAACGGTGAAGCTGAGCGAGCGGTTCGAACATTCAAGCGTCTCCTGAAGACCAACAACAGCCTCAACGATGCCCTACTCAGTTACAGGTCAACACCCCTCGCAAATGGCTACTCGCCAGCCGAGCTCCTGTTTGGTCGTCGTCTACGCACACACCTCCCATGTACAGCGGAATCCCTCGCTCCAAGTTGGCCTGATATTTCCAAGCTAAGGAAGTTCGAGGTGAGGCAGAAAGACCGACAGAGTGAGACGTACGACTCGTCACACCGAGCACAATCTCTGCCACCATTGACCCAAGGCGACCGAGTCTGGGTGCAAGATCTCGCTTCCGAAGCCGTGATTGCAGACCGCGTCTCCGACAGATCCTATATTGTCACGACCGACAACCTGTCCGAGTACCGCCGCAACCGTCGCCACGTCAAGTTGCTACCTGATGTGCAACCAACACCAACACCGCAGTTGAATGTCACTACACCTGCAGAACCTCCATCCGCTGATGTCGAGTTCCAGCCTACCTTGCGCCGATCAGCACGTCCATCCCGGCCGCTGAACAGACTCGACCTGTAAACGCATTAGTCATTGCTCATGCTATGATCACTCCAGTCGCTGACGCTGATGATCGTGAACTGCATGTAGTATTTGTGTGTCTCTACCCTATCTCCTCTGTATGTATATGACTAAATATTCTTCGAGCTGTTACCTCTGTAACCTCTCTCTCTTCGAACATAAAAAGGGAGATGTTGTGGTCCCGTTGTTGTACCCGATCCGTTCCGGGATCGGTTACCCATATGCATTCCCGTACTGTGTACATATATGGATCCTGGTTGTGCATCTTTATCTTTCGTTGTTCTATGTAAATAAACTTTAGTTGTTGTCTGGGACTTGTGGAGTGAAGTTGATCTATGGAGTGCGGGAACTAACTTGATGTTCACTCAGGAACATTACAGCGACAGCGTTCACGGGGCCGTTCCAGCTGCGGAAGACATTCGATTCATCGGGCCAATTCAGCAACAGGGCCGTGGACACACAGGGGGCAGAAGAGAGACATTGTTAGTGGACAAGAAATATGCAGTGGCAAGTGGCGAGTGCCGCATGGATGTCAAGTTGTCATGCACAATTCAGCTATTACTTACGGTCCAGCTAGTCCTGCCATTGCTCGCTCGTCCTGGTTCCTCCTCGTTCGTCTTCCTGCACGTCTGCACTTCTCCTTCCCCACCGTTGGCTTTGCGGTACGGGGGTGCCGGAAGGAATTCCCACCATGTATCCATGTACATGAAGTCCCACCATGACTCTCCATGTACATGTCCACGGCCACGTCAGCAGTTTGTATAGTACCGGAAGGAGTTCCCACGATGTCTCCAAAGGCCTAGAGCGGACGTCTTTGCAGCAATTCTTTTCGCCCTGCGCATTCAGTTCGCCGACGATGTCTCCAAAGGCAAAGGCCTAGAGCCTAGTAGAGGGGACGTCTTTGCAGCAATTCTTTTCACCCTAGTACCCTGCACATTCACTCCGCCGACACGACAGCGTTTACGGGGCCGTTCCAGGTGCAAAAGGTCCACGTCAGCAGTTCTCAACTATTTCGCGTACGTGAGGTATCCATCAATGGCACTTTGCAGTATGGGGTACGGAAAAGGGACCTCCTCGTTCGACTTCGTCGACTTCTGCAGTTCTCCTTCCCGTCAGGGGTACCGAAAGGGGCCTCCTCGCAGTTGTCCTTGCCGTCAGGTCCACGTCATGCAATTCTCAACTATTTCGCGTACGGGATAGTCGTCTTTGTCGTACGCGACATCGGCGTTTACCGAGTGGCATTGGCACAAAGCAGACCGTTGACGGGGTCACGTATCAAAAAAGTATCAACAACGTGTCGACTACGTGTCGACCACGTGTATAGCGGTACACTCAGCGGTACACTAATTCTCGTGCCATTCTCGTGTCACAAAACTGGAACATCGAGTACAAAAGGTCCACGTCAGCAGTTCTCAACTATTTCGCGTACGTGAGGTATCCATCAATGGCACTTTGCAGTATGGGGTACGGAAAAGGGACCTCCTCGTTCGACTTCGTCGACTTCTGCAGTTCTCCTTCCCGTCAGGGGTACCGAAAGGGGCCTCCTCGCAGTTGTCCTTGCCGTCAGGTCCACGTCATGCAATTCTCAACTATTTCGCGTACGGGATAGTCGTCTTTGTCGTACGCGACATCGGCGTTTACCGAGTGGCATTGGCACAAAGCAGACCGTTGACGGGGTCACGTGTCAAAAAAGTATCAACAACGTGTCGACTACGTGTCGACCACGTGTATAGCGGTACACTCAGCGGTACACTAATTCTCGTGCCATTCTCGTGTCACAAAACTGGAACATCGAGTACCAGTATGGAAAGGCTTCAGACAGGAAGCCTTTCCAATACACACACACAACACCTACACACATACATACACATACATACATACACACACAATGTGACATACATACATGCATACACACACCTGGTCCTGGTATACACTGCCATGTAGGTCACGTGTTTCTCGTTGAGCGAGACGGAGACGAGACGGAGACATGAGTGTTGGTGACGGGATAAGTCGTTTCGCCTTTTGAAACGCCTCTGGCAATTCTGACATTGCAATTGGAACTTGTCCCTTTCATCAGCAGTTGGGCGCCTGGTGGATCGGTTGCAGTTGTGGATAGCAAAGCCCCGGATCGACTTGCAGCAACGTTCACAAATGGGACAGTGAGTGGTACAGCACGGTTTCCGAATACATAGGCGTACAGGTGAAGAACTTGTGGCATTGGCAACATTCGGGGCAGAACTGGACTGGGCACAGCGATGGGCTGCAATGCCACCCGCACTCCGAAACCATCGGTGACACTGGGAGCACTGGCGGCTGTTGGCTTGCTGCTGGACTGGTTTACGCCGTTCCATGATGCACTTGTGGCGGGCGATATCTTGCTGCCGAGCAAATGCACGCCGGCACACCTCGCAGACTATCTCCCGGGCCTACACACACACACACACACACACACACACACACACACACACACACACACACTACTACTATGTACTACTATGTACAACTGCCACAAAATGGCCACGTCGCTCCCAGAAGCGGGAGACAACAGCGAGAAAAAAGAAACAAGGAGAATAATTGAGGTGAAAGGGGACCGTTCTACACATAGCTAGTGTTTCTGTCTTCGGTGGCGGGTGAGGTCCTGCGGGCGGGAGAATCGTTCGTTACATAGGCTGCATTGAATGGGCAGATTAGTCCTCTGGTCCTTTCGCAGTCGTTTGCCTCGAGTACAATTATGGCGGTTAAAACCAGCCTGACTCTTCATGCAGCGATCACAGATCGAGCAATGGTGCTGGCAGCAGTCCAAATTCAGGCTGCATCTCGTTGAAACAGCTGGTATTTCGTCCGATGTCTGACGCTCCACACAACGATGAACTGCAAAACCGCCAGCGCTTTGAAACCAGCGGTCACAAACTCCACAGTGACGGGCCCCAGGCTGCTGGGCAACAGGTAAGGACCGTACAGCTGAGCACTTGTGACGGTGAATCCCACGAGCAGTGAATGATCGGTTGCAAACCTTGCAGGTGACTTTGTTGTTGTTACACTCCACGAGATCATCCGGAGTCTTTGCAATTGCCTCGCGCCATGCTGGGCGATCCTGAGCCAAAGTGAGCCAATTCACTATGCCACCGAAACGAAGATCACGTGCGACGAGGTCTTTCCATCGCAGTCGTGGCCCACAGGCTGGGCGTGGATCTGAGAAGAAGCTAAACAGTATCAGCTTCGGAAGCCGGTTATCTGGCATTCTGGCGACATGCCCAAGCCACTGCAGACGGCGGTGTCTGACGGTATCAGATGGCAGTGCCATATCACCCCAGCGTCTTCGCAGCTCCTGGTTGTTGACATGCTGCAGCTGTTGATCGAGCCGGGATACACCCAGAATGAACCTGAGGGAGCGGTGGTGGAAGTTGTTGATGGCAACCATGTCTCTCTTCAGCGGAGTCCAGCACTCACAGGCATAGAGCAATGTGGACAGAACGCAAACATCGTAAAGATGGCGCTTGGTGGCGATGGAAAGGTTTCGGTCAAGAAAGACACGGCGCATAAGGTCGAAAGCTGCCGCTGCCTTACCGAGTCTTCTGGCCACATCTGCAGATGAGCGGGTGTCAGCAGTTATCACAGAGCCAAGATACACAAAGGATTTGACACTTTCGATCTCCTCCGGACCAACAAAGAGCGGAAGGCGGTCAGCACATGATAAATTTGCACCAACGGCCATGAACTTGGTCTTCGCTGTACACACACACACACACACACACACACACACACACACACACACACACACACACACACACACACACACACATACACAAAACAACATGTGCATGTACTGCATACTGAAATGTAACTAAAAGCACACATGCACTGTTGTCTATGCTGGTGTTTGCCCACACACACATACTTACAAAACAGGTGATCTGAACGTTGAGCAGAGTAGCGAAGCTTCACTGAGACTGACGGTGCCATTCCACCTACGCGCATGCCACATGGGATTTCGCATTGCTAACATGACACACTCAAAGGTGAGATGCAGAATCAGTCACACTGGTTCCCATGTGATGTTAACCAACCCAAGCTTATAAACACCTACCTTATTCCTGTGTGATGTTTTAACCAATCCAAGCTTATAAACACCTACCTTGTTCCTGTGTGATGTTAACCAACCCAAGCTTATAAACACCTACCTTGTTCCTGTGTGATGTTAACCAACCCAAGCTTATAAACACCTACCTTGTTCCTGTGTGATGTTAACCAACCCAAGCTTATAAACACCTACCTTGTTCCTGTGTGATGTTAACCAACCCAAGCTTATAAACACCTACCTTGTTCCCATGTGATGTTAACCAACCCAAGCTTATAAACACCTACCTTGTTCCTGTGTGATGTTAACCAATCCAAGCTTATAAACACCTACCTTGTTCCTGTGTGATGTTAACCAACCCAAGCTTATAAACACCTACCTTGTTCTGGTGTGATGTTGCCAAAGCTTTGACGAAATATATTGTGCACGTGTACCTGTGGAAATTGTGGCCAGGGCTGTTTTGCCGCTCGGAATGCATTTCATCTCAACAAAAATATTCATGTGCCCATGTACTTGTCTGCATCATGTCCCCCGACGCTATTAATAAGCACTGCTGGAATATCCAAATCACCCCCTCCCCCCCCCCCCCCCTGTTGTGTCCTACCCCAGGTGGGTTCTACTCGGACTCATCCAGCTCGATCACACACACACTCAAGGCCATTACAGATTTCAGTCATCTCAAACTCCTTATCCGAAAAAGACCCAGCTCACGTGCGAGCATGCGCACTACATACATATGGTCCTTGTCCAGGACATGACAATTTCCCCCTCACTAGTTGAGGCGAAGCATCTAGAACTATGCAATAGTAAACATATCAACATGCAATCTCAAAACTCACAACTGCCGAGACATAATATTTCATGATACACTATACACCATATATACACCATAAATATATAATTATATACAATATCCAGCAGAGTCCAAAATATATCATTAAAACTCCACAGACTAGAATAGGTCTATATGAACTGTGTGTTCTGAACGTCAATCCTTGAAACGAACTGGTCGAACAGTAGCGCGGGTTGACCGTCGTTCAGCTTGCGGTGACGACGTCTTGCTGCAGCTGGCACGTGAAGTGCTAACCGACGCAGACTCACTAGTACAGGTTGTTGCTGAGACCGGCGCGCCTAGCTCCGCTGCCGTGACACTGGCGTCGTTGTTGCTGAGTGACGGCTGTGTCGGAACCTGAGCTGTTAAACTTGCTCCACTCTGCTCAGACAGCCCTGCATCGAACTGAGGGATTTGCCGAGGACGGAGCTGGTTGCGATGGCGTTTCCACATTGCATCACCGACTTGTATCTGATACGTCATCGGACTGAGAACAGCCGTGACCACGGCTGGGGCCCACTTATCTCCTCCTTTGCCGAAATTCAAAGCCAGGACAGCTTGGCCGCACTGAAATTCCGGCATGTGCTCCAGATTGTTCTCGTAAACCTCCATGCGAAATGAGGTATGAACCGTCGCAAGAAATTCGCCGTTCCAATGAATGATTGAAACTCGTTAACATTCGAAGGAGCCTTAGCGTCCCGCATTGCCTCGATCTTATCCGCTGTGGGAGCCACACCAGCACTAGAAATCGTGTGACCCAGGTAGGAAATCTCATCCATCATGAAATGAAACTTACTGGGATTAAGCTTCATCCCGACCTCCTGTAGGCGACGTAGTACCCTGATCAGGTTGTTGTGGTGTTCATCCTCATCCTTCCCAGTAATCAGGATGTCATCCACATAGACGATGCACCCAGGCAGATCTGCCAATATGGATTCCATTGTGCGTTGGAAAATTGCCACTGCCGAGTGAATGCCAAACGGCAATCTCACGTATTCATACAACCCCTTGTGAGTAGAGATTGTCGTGTACGGCCGAGAAGCTGGATCAAGCTCCAGCTGGTGATAGGCTTGGGAGAGATCCAATTTGGTGAATTTATCTCCCCCCCGACAATTTCGCTAACATTTCCTCAATAGTAGGTAGCGGGTAGTGCTCCAAATCAGACTTGGCATTGATTGAACGAGAGTAATCAGCACAAATTCGGATACTACCATCCGATTTCAGTACTGGCACAGTAGGCGATGCCCATTTGGAGTGCTCAACTTTGCGAATAACTCCCTCTGCTTCCAATTTCTCCAAAGCCTCCTCGTACTTCTCCGTGATAGAGAACGGTACGGGACGCGCCTTGTGGAAAATTGGATCAGAATCATCCACTCTCAGGGTGATTTGAGCCGACCTCAGCTTGCCAACCTGAGTCATATCGAATAGCTCCTCAAATTCCTCAATGAGAGCTCTCCTCCTACCATCCATTTGAACATGATTGACATTGAGAATCTGTTTCCACGGTAGAGTAAATTGGGACAACATATCCCTGCCCAACAATGACGGACCACCATTATCCACCACACGGAGTAGTGTTGGTTTCTCCACACCATCAATGCTGACATTGAACTTCCCTTCACCAATACATTTGATTTCTGCCCCAGAAAAACCGGTCATGCGTACACTCGGTTTGGTTAAATTTGTACGAGACACCCCAAGTGACTCAAAATCATGGACAGAAATGATTGAAATGCCACTGCCCGTGTCGATTTCCATTACAACAGGAACATCATTAACAGCAATTTCCAATTTGTAGGAGGGCACAGATTTGCTCTTCAATTCGCCCTGATCCGAAATGTGGAACATTGGCATGCACTCAAGATCAAGAGATTCATGCTCACCTGCGTCATCAGTCACAACATTGTGCACCGACGCGCCTGACGTGGATTTCTGCCGACAAACACGCTCCAAATGCCCCTTCCTGTGGCAGTGACGACACTCAGTGGCCTTGTGTTTGCACTTATCCGCCAAGTGTTGAGTAGACCCACAGCGGTAGCATAATCTCTGCTCTCGAGATTGATGAGATTGACGAGAAACACCAGACTGCGCCTGCGAACGCGATTCCACTGGCCGGTGATTCACCTTGTGCACTTCCTGCTGAGAAGTCAGCTGTACGGCCGCGCGCGCAGCCGATTCCTGCGTCAAAGCTAGTTTGACGATGTCATTGAACGACTGTGCCGAAGTATCTTCTTTCGTCAATAAGAAATTTCGAGTGGATGAGCTGCTCAAGCCAGCAATAAACTGGTCTCGAAGCGCTCGATCGAGGTGATCAGCAAACTCACACCTCACAGCCAATCTCTTCAGACGAATGATGAAATCCGCAGTCGACTCATTTTCCTTCTGCTTCAACTGATGGAAATTGAACGTCGCCGAAACTTGCGAAATTGCAGGTTGAAAATACTTCCTCAAAAGATCGCAAATCTCCGACAGTTTCTTGTCAGCTACTTTCGCTGGCAGACAGAGGCTCCTCAAAATCGAGTAGACTTCCGCAGACAGCAAACTCACTAATACAGCCTTCCTTTTCTTGCTGGCAGCCAACTTGTCTGCAGCATTGGCCGAAGCAGCCACGGTTCCAATATCATTGGCAAAGAAATATAATTCAAGTCTTCCCTCAAACTCTTCAAAGTCGCCGCCGGTAAACGGCTGAAGCGATGATATCCGAGCCATATCTTCGTCGCCAGTTGTTGTGTCCTACCCCAGGTGGGTTCTACTCGGACTCATCCAGCTCGATCACACACACACTCGAGGCCATTACAGATTTCAGTCATCTCAAACTCCTTATCCGAAAAAGACCCAGCTCACGTGCGAGCATGCGCACTACATACATATGGTCCTTGTCCAGGACATGACACCCCTCCCCCCCCCCCCTCCCCCTCCCCCCCCTTGATCAGAATGGCTCTGCATCTTAGATCAACATGGCCTAGTGAGGTATGCATTAGTTTTTATAACTGCAGAAGTTGTACTCATTCGAAACCAAACATGTCCCGTGCTTGGCTATGCACTGCAGGTGACTCAGCTTGTGAATGACTTCACATCAAAGACACTAGGGAGGAGTGGTGTATCGAGGCAGCTGGGAGATCTCCAGAGAGCTGTGATGAGTCAGCTTGACTGCAAAGCACGTGTCGGTGCGGCCGACCTACACGGCTGCATCAAGAGCCACAACAAAGGCAGAGAGCTGAACATCAGCAGCAAATGCTGGGCTGGTGATGTTCACCGGTTGACCAAGCCACTCACGGCCATCTTTCACAAGTTACCCGAGTTCTCATTTGCAGACTTTCACAAGTACAATCAAGATCCATTCGGGGAGGCTGAAAAGCTGGCCGAGTTTGCTGCCGTGGAATGCACGTCAAGTCGATGTGAAGACCACACAGGCCAAAAGCTCTGGACTTTCCGATTTGGTGAACGCACAGCATGTAGCGAGAGCTGTAACTGCTGTGGTCCTCTCTGCAGCATGTGCAAGTACAAGAATGGAACGGCCATGACGTGGACATTCTTCGGAGATGTAAGTTAGAGACTGGCGTTGTTTCAGCATGCCGTAGCAGTACAGACTTTTCTACTACTGACCCTTGGAGTGTTGTTCTTGCCCTGTATTTGTTATTTCAGCGCTGCGAAGACTGCCCTTCAAGACCCAAAGTGCACTTGGCAGCCTTTATCTTCCTGGTGATAATGGCGGCGATGGTCATTGTTTTGTTTCTCCTGGCCATCAACTTTGGAATGACTTCCACTCTGGACAGCTGGTTGTACTTTGCACAAGTAAGTGACCGCAGCATTCGCCGGACTAGTTCACATACACATTCCGTGGTGAATCAAGGCAGGGAGATGCATGGGGAGCATGCATCCCCACCTCCCTGAGACCGCCGCCAACACGCACATACCGACTTATGGCAGAGTGCATGCATTATGTAACATCTGCACACTGGACCTCTCCGTTGTAACTTAGGGATTCTGCCTTGAGATGGTCGTCAATTCAGTGCACATTTGCAAGTGTGTGGCTGTCGGATCCCTCACTCTGCACTGCCTGGCCAAACTTCAGTGCGTGTTCGAATCTGATGTATATGTACATGTATGGCGGGTTATTGCGTCACGTACACGTACGGCCATAACAAGTGAAATCCAGACTGAAGCATACCGAAAGTGTACAATCGGCCCGCATTTGGCCACATTCGTCCCAGGCATGTGTATTCCGCCAAGCAGGATCCGATGCCGGCTGTACCTCAGCAAGAGTCCTCTCAAAGGGCAAGTGGAGGCAAGCCATTTCAAACATATGCCACATCCTGTATGGCAAATGTGCTGTGTGTGTGTGTGTGTGTGTGTGCACGCATGCATGTGTACATGCACATATGTGAGTACATGTTTGTGTGTGTGTGTGTGCACGCGCACGCACACACACACACACACACACACACACACACACACACACCGCGCACGTGCATATGGGTGTGTTTGTGTATGTGCATGCGTGTGCGTGTGTATGTGCACGTACACGTGTATGCGTTTGTGTGCGTGTGAATACTTTCACTCCAGGCCTTCTTCATCCTGCACGGCCAAACGCTACTGGCAGATGGTAGTGTGCAGCTATCGACAGTCTTCATACTGTTCATGGACCGTATCTTCTGCCCGCAAGGCATCACCAGGATGGTCACTGCCAGCAGTGAAATGATTGTGGCAATGGCCCTCTTCCTGCCTGTCATTCTCATCCTGCTGCTCACCAAGTACAGCAGTCGCGCTTCACAGCTCATACAGCGCTTTCAGCGGCGCAACTCCATTCGCCACGTCTTCTGGCTGTTGCTCATCGTCAGCATATCCCTGGTCGTCAACTCCATGGCTAAGATCTTGAAGTATGCCCGACTCGGAGAGAAGCTAGTGCCGTATGCCGATGGAAGCATTACTTACTTCAGCAACAGTCACAGGGCAGCGGCAGTTATGGCGATCGTTGCCTTTCTAATCGTCGTTGGCTGCCCGTTTATCTTGCTAGCACTGAGGCCGGTGGACCGATGGCCGGCGCTGATTGGCTTCATCGACGAGGCGGTGCAGTTCTACCGGCCCAGGCGCTGGTGGTGGGTGTGCGTCAACATCCTGCGTCGTGTGGTGCTGGCCCTGCTCGACATGCTGCTTCCCAGTGGCCCACTGCAGTGGCTGCTGATGCTGGCTACCTGCAGCACACTGCTCACTCTACACAGTATTATCAGGTAAGTACGGCAACTGCTCAGTACCATGTATAGCTCCAAGAGTGCTGAAATAATCGCACTTGAACTGGCTATACAATGGCACAGTATTCTAATAAAAAGCCCTCGGTGGAAAGTCACTGATTAGTCATCTCATACACACTCGGTCTGATCTCGATCTCCAAGGAGCTCAGCATAGAGACGGCAGTGGAGTGAGCATAATTGTACCCATTGTAATGTTTGCGTCTTTCCTTGTAGGCCTCTGAAACACACCACTATGATCTGGAAGGTGAAGGATTTCGACAATCGACTTGAATCCGCTCTACTGATCACCCAGTGCTTCCTGTACGGCTTCAGACTCTACCTCGAACTGCAATGCCCTCTGAAAATCAAAAAGCCGGCCGTCGTCCTGACAATCTTTGCCATAGTCTCGGCAGTGTGCATGGTTGTACACTTCTCCCGCTTCTTCAAAAGCTGGTGGGACACGCTGTACCAGAAGCCTCGCTCGGACCTCCGCACGCTCTGGCGCGAGTCATCCTCGTCACCTTCGTCGCCTCTGTCATCATTCGGGAAAAGCAACACGCACATCAGCAGGAATGCGAACAACACACCCGGCTTGAGAACAATGCTTCCTAATGACCAGTCCATGAGTGTGGTGAGTTTGCAGATTTACAAGTAACACGAAGGATTGGAGACCAGAGAATGCTTTCTTTCTTATCAAAACGTTGTGTTCGTGGAAACGTGTCCTACAAAACATGTATTTCACTGCAACAGTATCGATAGGATCATGTTGCTCTTGCCAGTACGTGTGCAACAGGTCTTGAAAGTGATGACGTCAGAAGTCAAAATATACCGGCGGATGTGTCACCACCCTGCTGTGAAGGGAAACCACCTAAACGCATATGGATTCATACAAAAACTGGATCCCAATATGGATCCAAAGTCAGTGTTGTCATGACTCCAAGCTGGCTGGGATGTAGCACTTTGAAGCAGTACACGAAAAGGTCATGGGAAGAGCACGGTTGTATAATTGAATGTTGGTAACCAGTGCTCATAAGTTGCTGCTTGTCTTCTTTAGGATTGCCGTACGCCGCACAGCAGTGGACACCCATCAAGCGCTACAAGCAAGATCAGTGGTGGCCAAACAGAGCTGCGGGAACCACTGCTGATGGAAAGCCTGCTGCGCGCCGTCGAGCAAGACGATGAAGAGTGGCGACCACGCACAGCAGCTGTATGACCCCCCCCCCCCCCAGCCAGGACTGTACAAAGAACAAGGTCTGTCTTTGAACATACCTGTGCCCCCCCCCTCCCCCCCCCCCCCCCAGTATAAAGATGAAAGTATAATCCGCCCGCCAGAGCTGCCTCAAATTTTACATAAAATGGACGACCTCGTTGACTTCATTTGTCTTGTCCTTACCCACTGAAGCATTTCATCTTCCACCAATCCCCACAGCATAGTCAGCAACAGCAGCAGCAGCAGGACACCTGCAATATACCAAGAGACAAATTAGCAAGAAATCCATAGCAGAGATATTGGACCAATACTTCCCAGTCATGTACGCACATTGCCTAGAGAGCTCCCCTTTTCTACTGCCACCCATAGATAGCATGTTACGCATACTTGCCACCATTGTGCACCTAAGTTTACTTTTGTTTGAATAAATTATAGATGTTGCCGGCACAATTCCATTTCCAGCTTGCATCACATGAATGGCAGACATGTTCAGAAGCTGTGTCACACACTGAACCATGCTTCGAAGAGAACGGTAGTACACAGCGCAAAGAAACATCGGCAACACAGCTTACCTGTACGCTTAGTAGGCCTTAGCTGTTGGCCGCGATGAGAAGGTGGACAGTTCTATTCTTCTAGCATGCTGTGCTGTGTGTGGCTTGCTGATTTGTCCGGTGTTTAACGCCCAGCATACAACTAGACCCTTGTCCAGATGGTATCATCATTAGTAGATTCATTACCACCATCATCAGCGGTGGCGGCGGCGGTGATGGCAAAGAACTTGACCCGGTAATGCCTAGTACTACCCGATACTAGTCTGCACTGCAGTACACAACAGAACACAAGATCATCAAGAAACAAACTGAAACACACAGGAATATGCATTGTTGCAAACCCATAGTTAGGAGGACTACGTGTGTAGACAAATACCGCATTACCGGTATGTATTACAGCCATGGAGTAGTAAAATACCTACCTACTCCCTGCATGATCACAGCCATGGAGTAGTAAAATACCTACCCACTCCCTGCATGATCATAGCCATGGAGTAGTAAAATACCTACCCACTCCCTGCATGATCACAGCCATGGAGTAGTAAAATACCTACCCACTCCCTGCATGATCACAGCCATGCTGTACTATAATTATACCACTGAACAATACACACGCATAGTAGGCAGCAATTGCTCGGTATCCGACAACTCTGCAATAATACACCCGAGGCGATAGGACCAACCTCGTTAACACACACACTCCACAGTTCTAGTAACCATGCTCTGATGCAGCGAATCTGGTCACCGATACTGCGGTTCACTCAGCATGCGAATGCTTCGTACGTTAGCACATGGGTTTACCGACTCCCTGATTAGGATTGGCATTACTGAGGAATGCTGTGTGCACTGCAAACCCAGTATGCTTCCTCCAAGGCATGGCTTAGACAGCCGCATCCATCCAACATGCACTGTAATCATTATGACTACCACACGCCATACCAGTACCAGTGGCAAGAGCGAACTGCGTGTGTATTAAGATAACTAAATACTCGTGTTACTTGATGGCAAGACAAATCCAGCACATAAACTAGAGGGTACATATTTTGAAGAAAAGAAAATGCTAGCCGGGACCGACAAGACCCAGAGAGAAATGGGAACTTCCAGCGGCTTGAAGATAAGAATAATAATAATTATTATTAGCAATCTAAAATGATACGGCCCCATATCACAAGAATACCATCTAGCCGGCATGTGAGAACAGGACTAAAAAAAACTATGTTATAGAAGTACAGTGGTTGCACAGCATAGGGACGAATGGTGCACCAACTGAAAAATAAGATGATAAGAACGAAAATGAGACGGATAGCATTAAAAAACACCGTAGTTGTAAAATAAATTACAATTTGAGAAAATCCAAGCAGATTGAGCATAGCACAAGGCATGGGTACCGGGTGTGTTAGGATGGTAACAAGCGTTCATAGAACAGAATGTAAGCCTGCGAGTTGCGTACTTGCTCTTCACTGGCAGCGCGGACACATGTATCGCTGACGTGGAACCAACTGCCATCAGGCACACTGTATGCTGCACTGGAAGCAGTACTAGAGCCAGCACTGGGAGCAACGGGGATGTCTGGTGCTGGTCCTGTCTCGCTAGTTGGTGTAGCAGTCTCGTCAGGTGTACGAGGCGGAGTGTCAATGGCCGATACGGTGTCCAGCACCGGTGAGCCAGTATTGGTTTGGGCTATATCAGTGAAGTTATCTTCTGGCGTTGTACCACCTGGCAACACACCTTGTTCTGTAGCCACCACCGGTGTGTCCGTAGTGACAACAACAGTCTCAACCCTCACCACATCCTCGGCAGCACACAACTCTCCAGCATCAGCCGTTGCACTGTTTCTGGTCTCCTTGGCGTTTTCCTTGTTGTCATTCTCAGTGGGAGATACGATGGATGGCTGTTCCCCCTCAGACCTAGCAGTGCTTGCAGAAGCCGCCGCACCAGTGCTGTGAGCAGGACTAGGGGCGGATACATCGACTTGCTGCTGTGGCTGTTGCTGCTTACGTGACTTGACATAGGCAGTGTAGTGACCACCTCTCATATTGCCACTATGCTCAGTCACAGCAAACAAGGAGTATACGATCTTGCCATTGGCATCACGGCTCACCTGTATAACCACATGACACACAAACACACACACACACACACACACACACACACACACACACACACACACACACACACTGTACTGTACTGCACTGTACTTGTTGGCAAGTTGTTGCTCACTGCCAAAACTGGTCACGTGAGTCTTCCCGGGAGAGGGGAGAGAGACTCAAAAGGAATCTTGGAAAGATGACTCAATTCAGAGTCAATTGGTTATTGAACCGCCCGCCCAACGGCCGACACCCCCTGAAATCCCCAAAACTCTGGGTGGACTGGAAAATGACCCCACTTATGGGCTCACCACACCTCAGTAAGTGGGTGAGGACAAGGTGCAGAAAAAGGATTGACGGCATCAGAGTATCCGTCCCGGGATCCAATTACAGTTACCCTTGCCCCCCGTGAAGGTAATACTTGCTACTAGTGTGAGTGGCTAAATCAGAGTGGATCTGATAAAAGCTTCACTAGCACCATTGATTACACAAGAGTTAATCTAGCCAGAAGCAGTCCATGGTTAACAGGTATGTATACTTCAAATAGAAAGTATATGAACCCTGGAACCAACAAAGGTGGCAGGTACAACATTACACCTTCAAGCAGCCGAGCCAGTTGGCAACAGACCCAACACAATCAGGCATAAGTGTACCTACCAACCGAACTAGCTGGCACACACACACACACACACACACGCACACACACACACACACACACACACACACACACACACACACACACACACACACACACACACACCAATGTTGGATGGCAACAATGCTGCAACATGACAGCACATCTACCAAGTGTGCAATGAACGATGGAAATCTTTGTACCCAGGTGGTATTATCATTCTGCATTAGTACCGTCATGTCAGTTTGCCTGTGCAAGATGCTTGGTCAAGTGCTGAATGTGCACTCCAACCTAGCTCCACATATATCCACACCCAAGTTACATGGCATGGGAGCAAGCAGGGCAGCATCCCAGTTCACAGCAAACTGACAGCAAACTTACCTGCCCACACCAACCATGACAAGTGTCACAAACCACCTCAAAGTCAAACCGTTTCACACTTACATCAGCAGACGCACTGCAGAACTGGCTCATATCCAGCAGGAACGGAAATGACACATGTTTGCTGATCTTCTGCGCACGTGATACACTGGTGTGCTTGAAGCGCTTGAGGTGCAGTGTCAAGATGGAGGGCAGACGGTGGAGGAGAAGCTGCTTGGAGGCCAGCGTTTTGACCGCACTCACCTTCTCCTCACCTGCACAGAGCGAGATCAATGTCACCATAGAGAACACACACACACACACAAACACACACACACAAACATGCCTCCCACACAAACATGTGCATGCACACACACACATGCGCATGCACACACACACACACACACACACACACACACACACACACACACACACACACACACACACACACACACACACACACACACACACACACACACACACACACACACACACACACACACACACACACACACACACACACACACACACACACACACACACACACACACCATACGCACACACACACACGCACGCACGCACGCACGCACACACACACACACACATAGATACACATGCAAGCACACACATGCATATTGCATGTCTACATACGAGAGCGTAAAGCAGAGAGGCATGGCAATGCTCTCCATTGATGAGAAAGAAAAAACCCTGAAGAGACTAGGCAAGTGCATCGGTTATGTACAGCACAACTCAGAGACCATGCTCGCATGCACATGTACAGCAACTCGGACCATGCTCGCATGCGCATGTACAGCACAACTCAGACCATGCTCGCATGCGCATGTACAGCACAACTCAGACCATGCTCACATGCTCGCATGCGCATGTACAGCACAACTCAGACCATGCTCGCATGCGCATGTACAGCACAACTCAGACCATGCTCACATGCTCGCATGCGCATGCACAGCACAACTCAGACCATGCTCGCATGCGCATGTACAGCACAACTCAGACCATGCTCACATGCTCGCATGTACATGCACACCACAACTCAGACCATGCTCGCATGCACATGTACAGCACAGCTCAGACCATGCTCACAAACATGCTAGAACACGTGCAAACTTCTCTCAAAGCACAGTGCACACTACTGGACATAGGATTTGAGCACACCGAAATGTAGAATACATCAGAAACGCGGCTAGGGATGAAACGATTAGTTCGAATATTCGAGTAATCGTTGGAAATTTTCAAACGAGCGAGTATTCGAAATTTTGTACTCGATTGTTTTTGTTGTTTTTGTTTTTTTGAGAGCGCGTTTGGTTGGTACGACCTACAAGATTCACCAGAACAGCGCGTTTGGTTGCGACTGCACCTGTTCTGGGTCGGCCAGAACATGTTCTGCTTGACCGAGCAGTTTCACTTTTTCACCGTGAAACCTGGCGGGAACATCGATTTTAGTCCCAAATGATCACGTGCATACGCTTTTAGGTTAGGACTCGCTGTACTGTACAAAATGACCATGGTGACCCATGCACATTTTGAAGAATGCACCAAGTTTGGCACATTATTTCACAAAAAAATGTGCTCTGTTTCTGGAGTACGGGTTTGGTTGGAATGAGGCTGCTCCATGTGCACCAGCTGTTCGATCCTGTTCTAGACCGTACCAACCAAACACACCCATAGTATTGGCAGGCTATATCAAAAGCTGTTGTTGTACCGCTTGTCCACTGGTATGCGTGCATATGCATACCTTTGAGTCAGTATTTTATGACTTGGACGATGTGATCATCACGGCAAGTAACGTTAGATATGAGATACGAAAGTACGGATGAAAATCGTCACTTTACACTCTGTACAAGACGGTGGTGACTAGGCATATGCGGATAATGCCGGCAGAATATTCGGCAGAATTTGCATGTTCGAGCATTACGGCAGAATGGAGCAGAATCGGAGCAGAGTTGGAGCAGAGCCACACGAAAGAAGGCCACAACAAGCACGATGCACGCGTCGCACACACGACACACGTAAAGATGGTCCACTACAACTACCGGTATGTCTGATACTGACATGATAGCGAAGAACTCGTGAAACGGATACGAACTGGTTCCCGTTTTGTATCCGTTTCACGAGCTGCTAAACCTCTGATCTAGCCATAGCAATTAGCACACAGTACACGTAGCACTACAATGTAGGCCATGTTATTCGTGTGTTGCTGGCATTCATGCATGTGAGACGTGCACGTCAGCCCGTGCATGCAACCGTGCATGTTGGTGGCTGTAACCTTCCGAAATTTCCATAAACTTCTGAATCCGTTGGTCGATGTTCGTCGACGTCGTGCTTGCATTAGCGTAAATACTGGAACAGCAGTGTACAGAACATCAGGGACCCATCATGAACCTACGGATACAACAGAACGTAGCGGGTATCTCCGCGGCCAAGTTTGAAAGCCACTCACTGTTTCAGTGTTTGTCAACGGCTGCGATGGATGGTTTGATTAGAGACCGTAGTGGGGATGTCGATTCTGAGTCGGATCTCGAGGATGTGGTCGGCTATCCCAAGAGTGACTCTGGCTCGGAGCCGGTGTGGGATAATGACCTGGCTCAGGCGACTGATGCTGCAGTGTCTAGAAAACGGAGCCTTTCCCGCACAAGTGCACAAAAAAGCGCCGTTTGGCAATCAGCTAAGAGAAGTCGGAGTGCAGTACATGGCGGCAGCACAACCGTAAACACTAGCCCAGCGCAAAGAGTGGTTGAGTTTCCTGGCGAGTGCCTTTTTGCTGATGTTGGAAAACTTGTATGCACTGCGTGCAAGATGGAAGTGTCCCTGAAAAGGAGCATCGTCAAGGACCATGTGTCGTCAACCCGTCACACGAAAGGGAAGCAGGACATGCAGAAGCAAGGAGCAAGGCAACAGCTCGTGGCTGAGCAATTCCGGCAGTACCAGGAAAGCCACGCGCAGGACAGGGCACTCGCTGGTACTGGCTTGGCAGGTGCCGTGCCAATGGAGCAGTCGCTGCACAGAATCAACGTAGTCACTTCCTTCCTCAAGGCTGCAGTGCCATTGACTAAGATTGACTCCTTGCGCACTATACTGGAGCATGGTCCACACCGCCTGACCCATTCAACACACCTTGGCCAGTACATTCCATTCATTTTGGATGAAGAACGGAAAGCACTGATGGAGGAAATCAAGGGCATCACAGCCTGCTCAGTTGTGTTTGATGGGAGCACCCACTTGGGGGAGGCGCTTGTCATCATCCTGGGGTTCGTCACTACCAATTGGGAGGCAGCTCAGCGACTCGTCCGACTCCGCATTTTGTCGAAGAGTCTAGCCTCTCAGCAGCTAGCTCGAGAGATCATCACCTGCCTGTCAAAGGAATACCATCTTCCAGCTACTTCTCTTGTCGCTGCAATAAGGGATGGAGCTGCTGTGAACGGTGCTGCAATGCGCTACATACGTGATATCATGTACCCGCAAGCGATGGACATCATCTGCGTGTCTCATACGTTGGATAATGTTGGGAAACATTTCCAAGTGAAGCTCCTGGAGACATTCCTCCAGTGGTGGGTGTCTCTGTTTGCTCGCAGCCCAGCCGCCAAGATGGAGTGGCGCAACCGCACAGGATGCGCTGTAAAGTCGTATTGCCCGACAAGGTGGTGGAGCTGGTACGAGATGTTGGCTCAGGTCCTGAAGTGCTTCGGTGATGTCCAGCCATTCCTCGAGCAGCTCACCTACTCACCTGCAGCACGCCAGCACCTCGTAGACATCCTACACAACCCTGCAGAGAGCCAAGTTCTTCAGCTTCAACTTGCAGCCACTGTTGACGTAGGTAAGTCATTTGTCCAGAAGACTTATGTTATGGAGGCAGATGGCGAAGTGATCGCTGATGCCTACGACCACTTGCAGGAGTTGACCTTTGCCGTGGCTGAGCCGTCCTACCCCAACACCCTGGCTGTCGCAAAGAAGCTGGCAGGTGACAACCAAGCGCAGGTTCCAATTCTCATGGCTCAATCACGAGGCTATGTCGCCGATGCAATCCGCTACTTCCGCCGACGCATGAACCACCAGGACGGTGATTTCTATCCGATCATGCAGATGTTCAAGGCAGTTCGAATGCTTTGCCCCAAAAAGGCATTCAACCTGAACATTAGCCGAGAAAGTGTGGAGCAGTTGCGCCATGTTCCGCTGCTTGCTGACAACGCCATCATACACGAGCTGCGAGAGGAGCTCCCAGCCTACCTTGTTGCTGCCCAAGTCAAGATGCTGTCATCGACGAAGAGCACTCAGGCTTGGCATGGTGGAAAGTACATGGCAATTTGCCTGCTTGGCAGAATGCGGCCAGAGTTGTGTACTCGATGCTGCCCTCATCAGCCTCTGCTGAGTGCGTGCTCTCGCTACTGCAAGCTACTACTTCCAGCCAGCAACAACGGCTACTAGCTGACCACCTCGAGGCATCACTAATGCTGCAGTATAACCGTGGCAGATAACCGAGCTGCACCTACAAGTACATTCTACCAGGTAACAGCGATGTAGTACGGTTCTATTTGTCACCATATGGTAAGGTTGCTTGAAGCAACTGGGTGCGCTCCATCAGTCCATCGTTTCGTATCCCTTCATGACATGCAGCCTGACTGACTCAGACAGCTGTTGTATTTGTTCCATCTATCTGTGTTCCCGTCTGTACACATGTGTCATACGTGTTGCCTACTATTCAAGTACTAAAGCGTGTACTGGTCCAGTTTTTGCTTTTGTTTGTTTGCTGTGTATTTAGCACTGCTGCATTCGCCCGAGCTTTTCGTGTGGTTCCTACAATCCAATGAACTTGTGCTAAACGCCATCACTGCACTCCAGGCTATGATCGCAATGTATTATGTACACGTATGCAGCACAACAGGTTCATGTGTCTGAGACAATATGTTTTAATATCCCTGTTTGGAACCATTTTATCGCTATACATGCCATATTATTGAGCTTTGCATCGAGCAGAATATGGTGTGTGGAGCAGAATTTTGAGCAGAAACCCATACTTTGTAGAGCAGAATGAAAAGCAGAAATATGCAATTTCCCGAGCATTATCCGCATATGCCTAGTGGTGACTTTTGTTCTATGTTCATGGATAATTTTTTCCGAATTGGTTGAGAACTCACAAATCTAGCACTTTTGAATTGTGACAAAATACTCGAAATAATTGAATACTCGATCGAATATTATGAATGAGTGATCGATTGGTCAAAATAGATACTCGTTTCAGCCCTACTTACCGCCCATATTCCCGTCAGCCAGTAGTTGTTGACGCTGCTGATCTGTACAGGTTTGACAGCCAAACTTATTGGCTCCGTCGAGAAGCTCGGCATTGATGAAGCGCTTCAAGCTACCAGCCAGTGACCAATCGAGCAGGCCAGTGTCGGCAAGAGACTTCGCCGAAGTCGGGTCATAATGCTGCAGGGAATTGGCAACAAGAGTGGGCGCCGTGTTGTTGCCTGCTACCGCTTGACCTGCGGCAGCTGCTGCATCAGCAGAGTGAGCTGGTGTGGCTGCGCCGTCACGACCCACTGATTTCTCAGAGTCAACAGCGATAGTAGCCGGACTACATGTAACAGAAGGACAGCCAGTGACTGATGAGGATACACCCTGTGAGTTTGCACTGTCAATGGGAAGGACATGTGTGGTCTTGGCAGCAGCAATGCTGGCTGCTTGTGTAAGGTCCGATGCTGAGCTGCTTGTTACATCAACCGGTTGACCGACCATGCTGGAGCCGCCACTAGAGCACAAACCAACACCAGAGTCGACTGCAGATGGCACGTCTTCGGCAATGGCTGCACTTGCAGGATGCCCACAGTCATTGTCTTTCTCGTCAACACTGCCATCAGACAACGACAAGCCTCCATCAGCTGCCAAGTCAGATTTACCAACAGGGACAGGCACTTCGTAGGCAGTGGGGTGCTCGTTACACCCAGTCTCCGATCCCGAACCGTCTAGCTGCAAATGAGATTCATCAACGACATTGCTACCCAGCGGTGACGTACCCATGCTAACATGCATAGGACTTTGATCCGACATAACCGGTGTAATCGACAGCTGAGAGTCGCCCGCATAGCTCGCAACCTCACACGCGGTGCTCCAGCTGTGACTATCACTCTCACCTCGCTGTGAAGCACTACACGCATCAGCAGAACTACCGCTGCTAGTGTTGCCAACAGCAGCACTCCCGTCATTATCCAAGTCCTCCCAGGAATCGGCAACGTCTAATTGCTCCGGCGTTGATTTGGCTTCTTGACGAGGTGCTGGCTGCTCACCACCTGCGGCGGTTTCGGTACTGCCAGCAGACTGTTCAGTGTCCGTAGCAGAGTGGGTATCCTCCTGTGCCTGATCAGCAGAGTGGGTATCCTCCTGTGCCTGATCAGCAGAGAGGGTATCCTCCTGTGCCTGATCAGCAGAGCGGGAATCCTCACGTGACGATGACGTGCACACGTCAGACTGCGCGTCATCTTTGCCACCGCCGCCTTTCTGCTTTCCCTTCCGCTTAGCCTCCTACACCAGTAGTAACAACAACAACAACAGCAGTGGAATAAGAACAGACTTTTAATGCTACTGTACGCTACCATCATTCACTGTGCAGTACAATGAGAGTGGCAAGCATCATGAAAAGTAGTGCAAACTGCCCCAACACACAGTGACTGTACTGGGATGTGTACACACTTTGGATGTCACTCACAACATGATCATCACCAACACCAACCTGACAACGAACAACAACACCAACACCAACCTGACAACGAACAACAACACCAACTAATACTTGGACAATGCAATACAGAATTCCAGAGAATAGCCTGCAGTACAAAGCGCTACACACCTTCTTCTGCTTCCGAGCTTCTTTCTTGGACATATGCTTGCTCATGGCGGGTTTCTTCGGCTCCACTTGACTGATCAGATCGTCGACAATGGACGAATGTGAGGACTTCCTTCCCGCCATCTCAGAATTTCGTTTAGTAGAGTGCTGAGTTGCTTTCTTTGCAGTCCCACCTAGCGATGCTACTCCTGCGGCATAGAGATTGCCCCGAACGGGACTCTGCAAGGGTTACACAGATTGGTGGGTATAGCAGGCAGGAAGTTAGAGCAACAGTAGTCCACGCGTGACATCACTACATGTACAGAATGCAGTGGAGCGTAGGGATGTCCCCAGCATGACACGTCACTACATGTACAGAATGCAGTGGAGCGTAGGGATGTTCCCAGCATGACACATCCACCCAGGACAAAAGTGAACGTGGACACGGCTGTGAAATGATGCAAGCCTTTAGGACTGTGCCCCCCCCCCGCCAATCTTAACGGTACTTCACTTGCACTGCAAGGTGCACTGTACAGCATTACTTGCTATCAGCTAGGTGCTACTTGACCACTGTGCGTCTCTCTCGGACGAAAGAAAACTAACGGAAGTACACCAAGGCGAAGAAGGGGCGTTACCCCAGAGTCAAGGCTGTCTCGCGCAAAGCTAAACAGCATTTTCGCAGCCTACTTCGGCCAGCAGCAGAATAAAACATAGGGATTGAACTGGAACCTAAAAACAAAGTCCGAGGAACGGGGGGGGTACGTGCAACGGGTAAACTTCCTGGTGTACTGTAAAACCATAACATTTCGTATGCATTCTAATTTTGCATATTTCATATGCTGGCCTTTACACTGCACGACAATAAAATAAATATGCATATGAAACCACAGTGTCACAACAGCAGCAGCAACAACAACAGCAGCAGCAAACCAGGAAAACCAGCAGCAGTAATGCTTACATCATCGGGCAGTGGCAGTGGCAAATCCAAGAAATGCTCATAGATACTCGACACCTGATGACAACGAAAGAAGAACAGAGAACAGAGATGGTTCAGTAACGTTACATGATCGATGGTTACTGGTTACTGGGTACAGGTTTCAAGTGGTTTGCCATGTACTTATCACAGAGTGGCAGGACAAGCAGAATGTACTTATCACAGAGTGGCAGGACAAGCAGAATGTACTTATCACAGAGTGGCAGGACAAGCAGAATGCAATAAAGATTATGTGCAACGTAACAGCAACGCTACAGGTGTATCCACTTTAACTAACCCAGAGGAGTTGCATACGGACGGTCACACATTCACCTTGAATACGGAACTCCGCGAAGGAACGCTTCTCAGCGATTTCACAGAATCAAGCTTTGTGCACGTTGGAGGACAGTCTACTACAATCGCACCTCACTGCACACATTGTGCACACCTACGGTAAATATCCCCCCCCCCCCCGCACATTCCCAGCCTGAAACAGATGGCCTGTTATATTACTCTTATACAATGCACTTACTGTGTCGCACTCCAAGCACGTTACAGAGCTGACTGTCTGCCCACCAAAGATCTCATCCACAAAGCTGGATTGATCAATTGCCTTGCCATAATCTGCAGGGCACAGGAAAACAAAACAGTCTATTTCTCACCACACCTGCCTCTCGAGGACGCAACCTTCCACCAAAAACTTATGCAAGGGAATATCTCAAAATTCCAGAATTTCCCGCCAAACGTGTTTGGAAAGGACGGGGGGGGGGGGGGGGGGTATTCGTTTGGAATACCAGTCAGATTCTGATTTCCACTGCAGCAGTTAGGGATTCAACGGCTGTTCGTTTACAATGAGGAGTGTGGGGTGTGGATCAAGTCTATACGAATACAATTTGTTTTGTTTGTAGGAAAATTCCGAAATCTTGAGATGACTCATGAAGCACAAATCTTGAGATGACTCATGAAGCACGATTCACAATAATCACTTCCTGGGATGCAATAATTATGGGACTTGTGACAAACCGTGCCTGCGACGCACAATTCACAAATACTTGGAACTTACGCTTTCGAAGTAGCAAAGTGAATGAATGACTGATGCAACACGTGGGAGAAAGCAAACTTGAAATTTGGTCAGGGAGTCATGCGGGGTTTGTACGAGGTGAATTGCTATTTCTGGACATTGTACATTTCTGGACATTTCGAGTAAAATAATTTTTCGTCGCGTGTAGAGTCAAGTGAGTCAGGTTGATGAAGTTTTTCTTGTTGTAGTTGACAGCTTGGCTGTTGTAGTTTCTCCTCGTGTCGGTGCCTTGTTGATAGCCTTTTCTTGGGAGGCATTTCAACGAGTTTTGTGGTACTATGTCGCATGAGAATTTTGAATTTTGAGTAAAATAAGAAGTAATGGAGGAATCGTTGGCTTCCCCATGTGCACTCCACTTCAGACGCTGTATAGTCTTGGACCTGTTGGCTGGAAGTGTGAAGAGGCCAACTGCAGTCCACCAATAGAAAAAATAACAAAAATGGTGCAGTATAGGATGCCTATTGATGCTATTTTACTTTCATGTCCAGAATTCCATACAGTGAAATTTAGGCCAAAAAATTGGCCTGTCGAAAACATCCTGCTATAAAGTCTCTGGGATCACAGCATGAGCAATTGTCACATATTTGGAAAGATGAAGGATTAGGCCATACAATAGATACAAAAAGATATGAAAAATGTTAAACACACAGCCAGTGGGCCTCTATTTTATTTTCATGTCCAGAAATTGCTATTCACCTCGTATGCTACCGTTGTTTCCACTGTACTTGCATATGGCCGCCTTGATGTAGTGCACTGCATTTCGCGATTCGCAAAAGTTGAACTCTCTTCAACTTCGGCGAGAACGTATTTGTTGCAACTGTCGCTAGTTGCAGGTCGCATCGCAAAGTGATAATGTAAATCGGGCTTAAAAAAAAAGAGCGTGCTCCCAGCAGGGCTCGAACCTGCGACATTCGCGTTATTAGCACGACGCTCTAACCGACTGAGCTATGGGAGCTCATGCCATGAGACAGGTCGCCTGACTTTTTCTTTCTCACTCTCAGGCACTCCATAAAAGATAATGGTTAGCATTTTACCGTTCACGTTGACTTCGATCGTCAGCCTGTACCGTTTTTTAAATGTGTTTCAAGACACGATTAGCATTTCGGTTTCTGACACAACGATCAGCTTGTGATGTCACCCTAGTTGGAATCACACCGCTTCGTTCTCCAGGTAAACAGAGCCTTCTATCGTCGAAACGATACCAAACCAACGGTATTTCGGGTGCTGGGTACGAGTACCGTTGAATTAAACGTGAACGGTAAAATGCTAACCATGTCTGGTCATGTCATCAAACATACAATGCTGCTCAAGGAAATCCAATCTGATGAAAACGCTAGCATCCTGCACCAGTGAAAAGCCCAGCGTCGACATGCCTGGGACGGCAGCGCGCCCGCGGTCACACCAAACAAGCCGTTTTCAGCTTGTGCTGAATGAAGCGGTTGGTCACATCGACCCGTGAGATCCGCTGAATTTTTGCGTGCTGTATATGTAGAGGTTTTTTTCTTCGAGTCGATTTTTGAATTTTAAATTAATTTTTATTTCTGTTGAACATGTACGTGGCAATCAACAGAGTTTTGGTACTGTACTGGGAGCTTCATTGGAATCAAGGGGCTTGTTTGAAAGATTGAGGGAGGTTTGAGCTTGTACTGCAGCCATGGATCCTGAAACTAGACTCTGTGCCGTTGTCTGCATGCTTCTATCATACAATAGTCTCCCTTGTCTGATGCTGAAAAACCAAAATTATACCTCGTAGAAAGCGCACAAGGAAAGATGGGGACAATAACCGACAGCAGGCAATGAGAGAAGTTGGACCGACAACGAAACAAACAACGAAAGCCGGAATTTTCAGAGCATGATGCATCCATGGCAAGATGTGCTTTGGGGATTTGCACGGTTTTGTTTTTCCCGCGACTGCGCCAGAATGGCTGAAAGTGGCTGAATCCATTCAGCGCTCCATTCAGCGCTTTTTCCGCTGAATGGCTGAATCGGCGCTCTAGCACTATAAATATTGTTCTGTGCAGCCAATACAGCTCTGCTTTATTCATGAGATCAAATCATGGATGTGGAGCCGTACACCGTATGAACTCTTGGCAAAGAAGCACATCCAAAATGATTTCTGATAAATGTGATAATACATGTAGTAGTAGTCCAAGGCAAAGACTTCGGTACAGTGCTTTGTTCAGGTCATTGTGACTCGCTGCACCAGGCCCGATCTCACACTCGTTCATATAACTACCACCCCGGTAATTGTTGCACATTGCTGCTTGTCATACAAAAGGTGAAAAATGAACATCCACTACCCGATATCAGCCCAGTGCTACGGCAATATGTGGTTGAAAATGCGACATGTCAAATGATTCATTACCCAACCAAAAAAACTTTGACTGAGTGCAAAATAATTAGTACAGGAGCCAAGTGGGCAAAATGTGACTTCCCGTTCCCACTTTGGGTGTACCACGATTTTTTTTGCTGATATGATAGAGGAGCATGTGGAGTTGCACGCTCTGTTTCATGCACGATGTGAAGCTTCTTGTGCAGCCACGTCTATAAAGCAATGGACGTTAAGAAAAAAAGAGCGTGCTCCCAGCAGGGCTCGAACCTGCGACATTCGCGTTATTAGCACGACGCTCTAACCGACTGAGCTATGGGAGCTCACAGTGTGTACAGGCATAGATGTGGAGAGAAACTTCACATTTCCACAGGATGGTATGCTGAAAAGTTAAAATCACCACAGTAAACAACGTACCCCGCAGTGCTGCCCTGTCATCATCGGAGACTTTGGCAGCTGGTACATTCTTCAAGTTCAATGATTTCAGCACGACACTCTTGACACGCTGGGCAAAGGCGATGCAGCAACAACACAGTAGCAACACAATAATGAGGAGTGCAGCAGTTGCAACATGCCATGAGCTCTACAGCGGTGTAGCTAGGATGTCATTGGTCAGTGGAGACCTGGTATTCGCTGGCCAACCAAGTGTCCCGAGTCGGCGCTGGCCTCGCAGCCATGAGTACTGCTAGTACATTTGCAGTGTGCATGTGAACTGCAGTGTGCATGTGAACTGCAGTGTGCATGTGAACTGCAGTGTGCATGTGAACTGCAGTGTGCATGTGAACTGCAGTGTGCATGTGAACTGCAGTGTGCATGTGAACTGCAGTGTGCATGTGAACTGCAGTGTGCATGTGAACTGCAGTGTGCATGTGAACTGCAGTGTGCATGTGAACTGCAGTGTGTGTACGCGCTAACGCAGTAAGGGTGCCGGCCCAGGTCATTCCACCGGACTTCAATGTCCACAACCGTAGCTGCATCCCTAATCAATCTGAACACAACAGTGCGAACGTGGGTCCATTGCATGAACTTTATGTTTATCACCCACGCTCACGTATCCGTTACGCATAACTAACTAAACCTCCCTAATGTGTTCAGAGTACATGTAGAACTAACGACGTCATAAGCAACGCACATGCATTGCGCATGACATCAGTGTTTACCTTGCCCTCCTCAGTTCGAATTGAGTTCAGTAAACAACTAAACAGCTCCTGGCTGTCTTGCTGCTGCATGCTACTAAAGCGAGGCGTGCTGTGAAGGACAGGTCACACAGGACACACAGGCAGATACGGGCAGAAACACCGGCATGAGGAGTCACGAATTACACTATCAGCAATTATTGTAAAATACAGTGCTGCATCCAGCACTGTACGGCATGGCTACATTACAAATATAGATACACATCACATAAGCAAGAGACAATATTTCAATTGAGACATTTAGTACTGTCCATTTACAAATAAAATTAATGATCTGACTTGTTTCAAATCCCGCTTGGACCGTATTAGCAAACCCAATTCTAATTCAGCCGGAAAAGGGGTTTGGACCAGCATGCCTTAGAATTACCCATGGCTATGGGTACCATTGTGATTTTAACTGATTTGTACCAAACATGTGACAGGTCATGTAGCACTTGTGACTGGATGACAACTTATGAGACCGTTTTTGATCACGGTGCCGTGACTGGCTATGGGGACTGTAGTCGATCACGTGGTGCCATGACTGGTTGTGAGGACTGTAGTCGATCGCGTGGTGCCATGACTGGTTGTGAGGACCGTAGTCGATCATGGTACTATGACCGGTACACTTGGGCCTGGGCGCGATGTGGTTTGCTAGGAAGGAGGTGGGGTTTGTTCTTTGGCCCCAACTGTACGAGTATATGTGTACATGTGTCGTGCAAGCGACACTAATACTATCATGTTTCCCAGTCCAACGTTTTGTGGAAGTTCTGTTGTGGTGGCTGAGCCTTGCCTTGTTACGAATTTTCTGATCTTGTATACTGTGTTATCATTTGTCCATCAAGTTCTTTTTGTTTTTGTTGTTTCTCTGGATGTTTTCGGTGTTCTTATTAATTCATACAATGTTTTTTTTGTTTCATTTTTCTCCTTTGAATTATTTAGTTCATTGATTGAGTTCATTCATAACAATTTATTTTATTTTATAAAGTTATGATTTGAAGTTTTTGGGTTTGCGTTTGAAAATCTTTATTTTACACATGCATTTTCCTGATTTCTTCTCCAGTTTTGTATTGCATTTTAATGTTAGTTTTTGCCCGTAAAAGAGGCTTGGTACAGTAATACTATCACCAACACACACGCACGCACGCACACACACACAGTCACACAGTCACACAGTCACACAGTCACACAGTCACACAGTCACACACACACACACACACACACACACACACACACACACACACACACACACACACACACACACACTCCATAGAGAGGTGCCAGGATCGTACAGACACGACACACCTATAAAAAAGTGACCTATTCCAATGAGTCACGCATACTTACACTTGGGAAATCCTGCTAAACACAGTGCGAGGAGAAATCACTCCACTGCCCTCCACACGGAACTCAGTCAAGAGACCTTGCATGGCCTGGGTCAGTGCGCCGGGCCCCATTTCAAGCCTAACAACAAGGGAGTCCTGCCATGATCAACACAATATAAGACAAAATAAGTCTCTAAAAGAAAGGTAACACAAGTACCAATGTCATCATCAGAAAGCACAACAGCCCCCTGTCACTTAAAGTGCTCAGCTTCGTAACGATTCATTCACCAATAGTCACAAGCCAAAGAATTGCTTACTGTAAGACCAGTAATGTTAACGAACATTTAATTCTAACGATTTAACGAATTTAAACAAAATCAGTTTCCTCTGAGACAAAAATGCGATAATACTCATAAAAAGGACACACTTCAGGCTCATTACAAACATCTTGAAAGTTTTTGTCTTCACAAGTATACTTTCAAGCCTTCTCATCAGGTGAAATACAGGCAAGAGAAAAGGAACAGGAACAGTGGATTAAATACAGTAAGAAGGTGGTAAAACAGCGCAAAAAGAAAGAAAGAAAGAAAGAAGATAGCTAAAGTAAGATGTTTGTAATGAGCCTGAAGTGTGTCCTTTTTATGAGTATTAAACAAAATCGTTAACATTTGTACAGTCATTTCCCGGTTTTGAGACGGAATTCGTTAGAATTTCACCTCGCTAACCCACAAAAATCCGGAGATCGTTAACTTTAATTGACGTTAAAATATCTGGTCTTACAGTAGTTTCCACCATCCCTAGGGTAACACCAAAGATCCCGATCGTTACATGCTGTACATGTACCCCAAAGCCTGGCCCACAAACCACGAATGCTGGGGAACTAACAGAAAGGAAATTGACGGCCGGTTTCATCCTCTTTGACAAAGGAGGCTGAACAGCAGCAAAGTATGCTGGTTCACGTTTATTACAGCGTGGCGTAGCAAGGTGTGAAATAAACCGGTGGATTTCTGGGACAGCTAGCTTTTCACCCTCCATGAAGAGCAGCGAAGAGGTAAGCCATTTCAGTGCACAACTTATAAACCACATCAGTCAGTTCCGGTCCATTCACAGGTTTATTTTGCAACAGGCGGGGTTCAGTAACACGGCTCTGAATGTACCTCAAAGCATCAACCCCGCACCGCTCTCTGGCGTGTATTTCTAACAATCCACGTACATGTACTAGCGGGATTCAGAGCAAGTACCGCGCTACCATACATGTAGCAGTGTACAGACACGATAATTATGATGATTGTGGTGGCAACTACTAGTAGTCTGTGTACTAAAGCAGCAGTATAGTAATAACTTACCCGACCCTGTGCTCGAACTGGCACTTCAAATCCAACGGGACGCAGTTGCTCAAGGCGCTCGTGAAGTTGATACACTTGGTTCAGGCCCTGCCAAAGCATCACAAAGCATGCGCATGCGGACAGCATCTAGTACGCCGCCACAAGGCTGCACCTCCAAGTGTAAAAAGGTATGCATGAACTTTGGACAAGAAGCAACTAGTACTGATCGAACAAACATCCATCCTTGGCCTGCTGATCATATGCTTAGTTTCGATGTACGCGAATAATTATTTTTTTATCGGCGGTGGCCTGAAGACTGCCTTTGGCATCACGCTTTTTAAAGGAATTACAGACCTAAGGCTACGTTTACACGGAGACGAGACGAAACGGAACCAAAATGTGCTGACCTCGAGTTGTTTTCAAACCATTTACTAGTACACGAGAACGGAAAAATCGTTTTGAACCGTTTACACGAAAACGGAAAACGGGCGATCCGGCTGGGGTTGAGACGTGTTGGCCTGGCGCAAGGGCGGGAAGGAACACGCTAGTTTGAGCTGGCTAGCTCATGAACGCGGTTTGTGCACTTGGTTTGAATAATTCCCGTACGACATACTCCTGACCACGGTCCATTTCCAATCGTTTTCGCTGTTTACACGAGTACGAAAACGTTTTGAAAACGTTTCAAAATACTTTGAAGTGCGCTTCCCTTTCTTTCCGTTTCGGGTGCGATTTCGTGTGTTGTGTAAACGATAGTAGTAAACACCACGATTTCGTTCCGTTTCGGTGGTACTTTGTTTACTCTTCCACATGTGTGATAGTACTCATACATTCTATGAATTTTTCGAGACAAGTTGGCGGTGTCCATTAGAACAATCCATAGCGGGAATTTCATAGTGCGGTAGTGGTGCAGTGGTGGAGGTGGTGATGGCAGCGGCGGTTAGCGTGGGTACTAGTGGGATGCTGTGCCGAACCAAGAAACTTAGCTGGCCAAAAAAGGGATTTTATTATTTGTTAAACTGAACTATCCCGAAGACAGATAATAACAATCATAAGTCAGCAGAGTAGAAGTCAGTGAAAATGGGCCCCAATATGTCTGCTATAAGGATCCAGTAAAACCTGCATTAGGCGACCACCTATTTAACCCCTTTAGCGCGAGCGTCGTACTAGTACGACGCACATGAGTTGCATGCCCCACGGCCGTCGTACTAGTACGACGCGCGCTGTACACTGTACAGTGAACCTGCATCTCAAAGTCGTGGGGTCCGTGTTGAGTCCATAGTGACTTGTTCAAACTATCGTAACTCACTCAATACTTGGTCGATTCTCACAATCGAAACATGTATCTGCAAGAGAAAACTCCCAGCTGGCGATAGAAACAATCGCCGAAGCGATGCGACTACCGGTTGTTGAGATATGCAACTCGACACGGCAAATTACAACTCGATTTTTTTGCGCGCTCTGCAGAACGCGTATTTTCCATCATGGATCATTTGTGCGCTACCTGCTGCCATGGAAACAAGATTCAAATGATGGTAGTGGATCCCGTGAGTCCTCACAAAAAATTTGAGCTCGATACGAGCAAGGAGACCGAAATGGCAGCTGAATATTTGAGCTCGGTTAGTCTTGGCCGCGCTCAAGTCTGTCGAGCGCGTGGATGAAGTTTGCCAGACTGTAGCACGGGGTTTGGGTTTCGCTCCGAGCTGGGTTTGACACCAGTTTGTCCCTCGTCTCCAGACCTTTCCAGGAAGCTCAAGATCGTGGAATTCGTCCAAGGGAAGGTAAAGTTATCGATCCTTGAGCAGCTAGTACTTTCATGGGAAAATGCGACTTTTACAGGTGTTGACGTGGGGCGCGCTCAGGTAGCGTCGTGCTAAAGAGGTTAAAAGACCGGTCTTCAAGCCCATCACCATACCTATACAAACAATATGACCTGTTCACAAAGATCACCTGTCCACAAAGATCACCTGTCCACAAAGACCGGTATTCTCTACAGCACGCGATGGTCGTTGAACACAGGTTTGACTCGAAGCATCAACATACCTGCATGATGGCATTGAAGAAGCATGTGTTGCCGAGGTTAATCAAGCCCTGCAGCACAACCAACAGTCATGGCAATCACAATCTTTGAACCAGGAATACACAGTAAACATGTCATACCTGCCATACACACGCACGCACGCCCGCCCGCACGCACGCACACACACACACACACACACACACACACACACACACACACACATCTAGTACTATCAGTTAAAGTGACATTAATTAATTGGGGTCCTGTTACTCCTGTATCTAAACCAGGGTGCCAGGATAATGTTAGCAGTGCACATATTCTTGGCAATTGGCATAATGAGGCAAGTTGCCATTGCTGACCTCGCCACACTGAAGTTCCACAGCAAAGCCAGGTATTCACCCAGGCAACGTTGCTCTATTCTCAAGTATTCAATGCAAACTACACAGCAAATGCAGACACTACAACTGGCAACAGTAGTGAGAAAGCAGACAGTGCATGCATGTGGCCAAGGAAAATATTAAATTTAAATTGTCAGTCTGGTGCTACCTGGTGCACGTCTGACTGTTCAAAACCTGGTTTAGTTGGTGGACTCAACGCATAACTTGTGCCCCGCCGTTTTCCTGTTTAAATTTGATTGGTTTATATTTAAGGATTGACCAAAGGTTGCGGGAGCCTATCGAGGGGATCACCTATCCCAACACCTGGCGTATGAGATAGATGTAGGACAGAGTGAGTGAGAGAGCAAAACAATGCATGATGAAAGACATTCAAAGTACCCTACCCGGACAGGGATCCCGGGCATGGACCTGGACGGTATGGCCAGCTTCTTCTTCCTGAGCAAGGCTTGCTCTTCTTCCAGAGCTAGGCAAACAAAGAGAAACAAAGAAAGGGAGAAAGAGAGTGAGAGAGAAAGAGAGAGAAAGAGAGAGAGAGAGAGAGAGAGAGAGAGAGAGAGAGAGAGAAAGAGAGAGAGAGTGAGTGAGTGAGCGTGTGTGTGAGAGAGAGAGAGAGAGAGAGAGAGAGGGGGGGGGGGGAGAGTGAGTGAGAGAGAGAGAAGCAGGCCCCTCCACTCCTAATTACTGAAGTAAAATGAAGCAACCAAACAGAGTTTGGGTAACACCAAGGATTTTCATGTGCACAATTCTATATTTGGCCAAAGATGTGCAGTAGACTGGCCAGTGTGCTCAGCCAGAAATAGTGAGTAAGTGAGCATAAGGGAGAGAGAAGGTTTTGTTGGGGTGGGTGCCAGGTCGACATGGCGTAGGACTTGCTAACCTTTTTCATTTGAGAAGCACCTCTTGATGTGGATCAGGCATGCATGTAGGTTGGTATCCGGCTCGGCCACAACAGCTCGATCGCACTCATAACACCTGGTTGTAGACAGGAGCAATACAGTGCACGCCAGCACACACATGCACACACGCCAGCACACACACACACACACACGCACGCACATGCACGCACATGCACACACACACACACACACACACACACACACACACACACACACACACACACACACATATATATATATATATATATATACACACACACGTACGCACGCACGCACACGCACACACACACACACAAATACACAAACAGAACATGTAGGCTTTACTAGATAATAATGCAGTAGAGCATCGTGAATGGCATGACGAGGACAAGTTCAGAAGCATGTGTATAATATTACGGCATTGTTCTGGAGGAATTGCGTAGAGTGCGCAGGGAGGCTTCAGACCGCGAACGACGCCTACTACGGAGATTGGACGACCTGTCGAGGCAGTTGCTGGAACTTTCAGCCCGGATCGACATGAACACTGGGCCTAGTGGGGCAGAACAAGAGCCACCTAAGCGAAAAAAACGACAAAGGAGAAAGCCAAAGGACTCCGCCACTACCCCATCCTCGGCTGCAGAACAGCTGCTCGAGGATGCGTACAGTAGAAACCCGTCGTACCAACACGGATGCGGACCGTGAGTCGGAGCCAGAGCACACTACTAGTACAGTTGGTGATGCGGGCGCGGATGCAAACTCACGACGTTGTAGGAACATTTAGGCCCAATCACGTGCCCTGGGTCCTGGCAGCAGCCGGTCAAGCTGCACTAGCAAGCTTGCAAAGTTCAGCGAAATGACCAGCAATGACGAAGTGGTAGATGTATACAGCTAGCAAGTGTTAACCAGTCGTAAACCGACAGCCAAGAAGAGTGTCCTTTTCGTGGGGAACCTGAAGCCTGATATTTCTGAAAGGCAACTGACCCAGTTTGTTATAAACAGGGCAAGAAGAGCGGACATGGAGCAGGAAGTCTATGCATGCAAGACCTTCCCTAAAGATGGTCATGTCTCTGCTAGGATTGTCATCAGTAAAAGCAGCGTCGAGCTTGTAAACAACAGAGCATTCTGGCCCCAGCCTGTGTATTCCCGCTTGTGGAACTTTGACAAGTATGCCACTGACTCCACCAACAGCACGGACACTGAGCAGGACGACAGTGATTCTCACGCCACCCTACCCTGTCAGACTGCACAGCACTCGCCCGAGCAACAGGCCAAGCAACCATGTATGCCGACTATACGGATGACAGAGACACGACTACTCAGCCTGATGCTCACTAATACTGAACAAGATTCAGCCCTCACCATGTCTACACAGATTTCAAAAGCGTCGACCTCCATGGTGGCTGGCCGTGCTACCCGTAGGCACACGTGCACCCCGCGTGTCTTCGAGCTAAAGATCATGTCGCGTATTGATTTTCCCGTCTCCCCATTTCTTTGAACTAGCTCAGCTTTTGCTTCGTCTCCACGCTGTACCCTGAGTTAGTACTCTTGTCTTCTTGCAGCAGAATACTGCTAACTCTACAGCGCGTCGAGCTTCTCCTAGAAGAGCTATTTTTTAGCATCGGCGAGGCCTTTTGCATCGAGACAGACTGTCCATCGTTTCAGTCCTATCTTGCCGTCGTCTCACGAGCGCCTGAATGCAGCAGTATCTATTTTCTTGTCGTTTCATTTTCTGGTGAACTCATTCACCTACTAGTTCTTCCTTTATGAAAGCTTCAGGCGGCTGAGTTTTCCCATTAGTGACAATCATGCCGTGGAAAAGAACGGGATATTCCTAAGGTATGTACAGCCAGTGCAGTGGTGACAGCGTACTGCACTGCAAAAAGCACCTGCACTGCGCGTAGTTATTGTTTGTTTTGTTTCGTCGAGAAAGAATCCTTCGGTCCCTTTCGCCGCGAGTCGTGAGGCCGCAGCACGGAAACTGGTCTATTGAATTTATTTCTTGGTCGATTTTGACACCCAATACCGCGTTGTTTTTTCTTTTTTCACTGGCTATCCTTTCTCCACTTCCGAATTGCGATGCCGTCCACCTGGAAAGCCTTGAAGTGAAACCAGTGGAGGCCGGTTTCGGAGGTAATTTTCGGCCAAACAGCCATCAAATCGAAAAATTCGAAGCGGACGATCTGTCGGTATCTATCGAATGAAGATGTAGGTCGATAAAAAAATCTTTGGAAACTACAGTGTATGAACCAAGGAATTACGGAAAGTTTGAGAATTTTGGTACGTTAGGTGTACGCTGATTGGTCAATGAGCGTGACCGTTGACAAACGGGACTGTGCATCGATATTTTTTTCGAGAAACGAACAGGCGCTCAACCCCCTCCCCCCTAAACGACTAGTTTTCGTTTCTAAATAAATATCTATATATACGGATGGCCCATTAGATAAAGGTATATGCTGAAACATAGCCGCAAACTCAGCATTTGCTTGGGCTTTCAGAAAAGCAGCAAAGAAAGCTTGGTGCGTTTGCCAAAGCTGCCGTTGCCGTCCTACGGTGGAGAAGTGAATGTTGCCCCGAGTCGGTAGAAATACAATTTTACCACACATACTGAGCTTTCCATGGCAACAATTCTGCTCTTACCAAACTTCGAATGAAACGACATTGACGACCAGCGCATGGCTTTTGTTCTGGTTCTGATGCTTGAGTGCGTGCTTGTGCGTAGTGGCACGCACACAGCTCTAAACAGTATCAACACATATAAACACCACAAATGACACACAATAAAGGAAAGAAATCAGGCACGACACATAGAACAAAAAATATGTTTTCATTCCCCGCAGAATCTAGGCTTGCTTATTTTACGCACTGGGCTTGTCTTCACAGAGACATTTCAGTGCATCGGGTCGCCTGCAGACAAAGGTCTGCCTGAGCCAGTCATCAAGAGTACACCCATTACCAAGGCTGGCTGAGTGACTGTGGTGACATCTCACAAATCACACTATCACATGCAACAACATGACAGTGTACTTACCAGCCGCCCGCAGTTCAGGCAAGCGCAAATCTCAGCATCCTCGAGCTTGGGCGCATCCGACAGCGCCTTGCAATCCTAGAATCACGCGTAGCAGAGAACGATGTCAAACAGAATGGAACTCAGCATTGGTCAACATCACAGTAACAAAACGCTGTGATCACTTGCCAGCCAAGCACACAAGCAGCAGGCACAGTGACATGGACCATGATGGACACTGACCTTGCACTCTATCACAGAGGAAGAGCGGATAGCACCGCGGATATTATTGAACTGGACTGCTTTCTTGACATGAGGACAGCCGGTTGCAGTCGCTTCTACAGCATCAGAACAATGACCAAAAAACAGATAGGGTACGGGTGTTGAAAGCATGAAACACTCACAGAGATATGTTCACTATTAATAAATGGATGGCCCATGCGAGTATGCTGGATCAGGAATGCACTGTTCAACACCCCACACACCCATGCCCAGGTGGATGTGTCGGGTGTTGCATTGCGCAATGGGTGTAACGGTATGAATTCATAGCATCAACAGGTGTGTGTGTGTGTGTGTGTGCGTGTGTGTGTGCGCGCGTGTGTGTGTGTGTGTGTGTGTGTGTGTGTGTGTGTGTGTGTGTGTGTGTGTGTGTGTGTGCGTGCGCGCTTGTGTGCGTGCAAACATGACCAAGCCACCACAAGCGGTGCTTCATGATAACAATGGCCATGCCAAACGTCCACCCCTGTTGTACGGATGAAGGAAATCCGGCTGCCAAAGCAGATGCTGTTTGGCGAGCTGCCTTGCAAACACCCGCAGCACGGTCCCAAGCAGTGCTGGCGGTATGTTGTGTTCTCGGATCTTACCACCATCAGTCTACGAGTACTAGTACCTGAAACGGAGTGGCAAGCTACAGCACAGGAGAGACCCAACTGGTTCCAGTGCTGTCAGCAGAGGATTGAGAAGAAAGCCACCGAAATCCGGTGCCCCAACTACTGCTGAAATCGAGTGTTCTGTCGTCCTGGCGACCTCAAGCGTCATGCGCCATATTGCAGATGGCGAGTCCAGAGCATTGGCGTGAGGAAGTCATTGCAATCATTGCTACGACAATGGGCATTCCAGGTTCCAGGTGTGCATGTGAGTGTGTGCATGTGAGTTCAGCTAATTGCAGAGGATGTGCTTGTGGATGAACGGTATTGACCGTACCACTTTTTTGCCTCGGGTTCCCCATGAATCATCTGTAATGATTTTGGTTCCAAGTTCGAAATTTTTCAGGGGAGATCCTCGGAGGAGTACTTCAAATGGTTGACCATACCACCTTAAAATACCCTCCAACACCCCAGTGCTGTAGTACATGTACTAAAGTTTGAACAGTAACTAAACCCATAATGAAATTGCATTCCAGATACGTGACACATGTTCTTCAAGAGTGTAAACACAAGACTACACACAGCACAACACAATGTGCATATTTTTAGGTGCGCTGGTGTATTGGCATTGCATGTGATAGCACAGGGAGGTGTTAAATCACGTTCACCCACACGCCTGTTACGTTTATTCTTCAGTTTTGTGTGTGCTCTCGAACACAGAACAATAATTATATAAATGGAGAAAGACGAAATACAATGACATCACCAAAGCTAACACACAAGCACACGCTGTGAGCACACATAGTCGTTGTCAGGACTTCCACCACCCATGCAGTTCTTACAATACATGTACAGTATACTGCACACAAAGCAGAAAATGACAATGTCACAAACGCACCTGCTGCTAAACTTTGACGCTTCTGGTTAGCTTGGTCCTTGCGCTGCTGCTGCACTTGCTGCTGCTGCTTCCTCTTCTTCCCATGACCACCCATAGCTTTAACTATACCGCCCATACCTCCACATAATTACAGGAAACAGAAGGACAACATCGTCCTCCACTTCACTTTAGAAGAAAACAGAATGGGTTGCCAAACATTTTCGAAACTGAATCGAAACTTTCGGTCCCCGACTCGGACCCCGAGCACGCAGGCAACCAAATCCAGTTCGATCACGTGGGTTTCTTGCTCACTATGACATCATACTTTCATAGTAAAGGCAGAAATTTCGAAAAAAGGGTCACGTCACAAAAAAGTCAAAATTGTGTTTGAATCATGTGACATGTCATTTTGAGTTTGAATTACACATTCGACAATTTTGTAGCTAGCTATGAAATACAATTTGTAGAGAGCAAAATGCCTCTCCAATGGGCTCTTCTTCGCCGATTTAGCCCAAGTTTTCACCAGCAATGTTGTGTGAGTTTGGGTTGTGGGCACCGTCCACGAGCGGAGCCCTTCAAGAGAAATTCTCACCACGTCGCTGTTGAAAGGTGCACTTTGCCCAGATGTTATCAGGAATATGATGGCACAAGGGCGTTTCATACAAGTTGCGCTTCGCTCCTCCCCAGGAACTTCAATAGAACTGACTCCGATGCTGCTCCTCTCTACGGCGAGGAGAGTATATTCCAGCCCTCCGAGCAGAACGATCATGGAAAATTCTCCACTTCGGATGAAGATAACGACGTCACAGACAAGATGACCTTGGATCAGTCCGAAATGATGACTGATGACGCTGAAAGATTCATTGATCTAGAAGCTGCGCCGGGGGACGAAGTTATCGCAGAACAATTAATCATTGATAAGGTTAAAGGGGCAAGTGATCTCAGGAGAATCCTCAACTACATGGAAGCAGTGGAGAAGCCAAAATCTCTGCGTTCCAGAGTGAACTTGGGACTGGTAGGGTTGTCGTTCGAATCCTTGCGCAATGTCATCGTGTCCATTATGAGAGATTGTGGACTGACTGAGACACAGGCGTTTAATGTTGCTATATGCCTGCGAGGCAGCAAGCCTCCTCCGCACCTGAAAGAGACGATCAATGTTCTACTTCAACACTCTATCTCACTCAACAAGATTCTCAATGAGCAACGGGACTCACTTTTAGCACTGCTTGTAGTTCCTCCTGGACAGGTAAGCCGCAAGTATGTACTTTCTTGATTGTGTTAGTAGCTGTATACCAGCTAGCTTTCCCAGAAGTCCAGTTACTGTTTGCACAGAGACGACAGGAAGGTTGCTATTGCAGTGGTAGACACACATGCGGGCACCCTTAAGGAGAACAACGCTGCACTTCCAAAAGACTACACAGGACAACGTATTGTCATTTGTCGGCATCGAACACAGTTTGAGGATGATGCACAAGCTACCAGGACTTATGTGCTGAAAATCCTGTCGAAAGCAAGTGCAGAATTTCACACTTCACGGGGAGCATAGCAGCTAGGGTGCAGATCTAGACAACATTGCACTTTACATGGCTGTAAACACTGTGACTTTAACTACTGCGTAAGAAAAGAATGCCATGGTCGTGTTATTCACACCCTTACTGCTCACACCTGTGCTCAGTGCTGACAATGTACAAGTGCTAATCACGTCACCAAGAAAAAGCTGGGCAGTGGTAGCCTAATCTACCTGGTGGCAGGTGCATGTGAATGCAATGACGGTGTGACGCATTGATTACGCTGCCTTCTCTTCTTTGGCACGGTTTCTACTTTCAAACTACAATTGTGCTCGGTGAAATCCAACCCGAAATGCGAAGCTGGTGCCCTGGACCAGTTCCGCTTACATCATTGTATTTGTACATGTGTATTGTCACTTTGTCAGCCGCGTTCGTGCTACTTCCGCGGTGTCAATGGCCATGCAAGTTGAGGGCGCCGAATATGCACTCTGGGTCGGATTTCGCCGAGCACAACTGTATTTCATATTACCTTCGCATCGCAGTTTGAACACCTCATAGTTTTTTTGTTTTTTGTTGTTGTTGTTTTTGGCGCGATGTCATAGAAGATTAGCTACTGTATGTGGCATCATGCGGGGCATCACTGTATTATCTTCACCCTGCACCACTCAATGATAGAGAAATAGCTGTAGTATTGTGCTTCAGGAATTACTTCAGATTTGTAGTGGTCGTGAAGGGGTGTCTACGGTTTTCTACGGATGAAGCTGCAAGAAGCATTGGATCACTGTTGGTGCATGTCAAGAAGCTGAAACTAATAAAAAGTTTCTTCATAGATTTATCAATCATGTCACATTGTACTGATGCAGCTAAGTAGTGGAGTGTAGTCGTGACCACATGACAACCAGCATGCGGTGCTACATGTAGTCTTCTGCTATGACTTCTGTGCTTTATTGCCTACATTGTGAATCATCTCGGTGACGAATGTGTGTGTGTGTGTGTGTGTGTGTGTGTGTACTATGTGTGTGTGTGTGTGTGTGTGTGTGTGTGTGTGTGTGTGTGTGTGTGTGTGTGTGTGTGTGTCTTCTTGGTTGGTTTGCCCTCAGCTGGAGGAGCGGTTGCTGGTTTTAGAAGATGTTGGCTTCACTAGCGAAGAAATTGGTGAGCACCTCCGAAATCCTGGCATGTTCCTTCCTGGGTGTCTTCCACTACGATACCTGCATGCACTCAATACTTGAATCCTATTGTTTAGAGCCTTGTAAATATGGCTACTGTATTTTCCGGAGTATAAGCTGCACCCAGATTTTTGTCACAAAATACAGACAGCTATCCCATTCACCACCGTTAATTTGATCATGGTAGTACAAGCCGCACCACCGACTTTTTGGGGGGAGCATTACTGGTGTTTATAGTGTGGCTTATACTCTGGAAAATACGGTAGTTTGCAAAACGAGTGTTTAAACGAGTGTTTTTACATGTGGATCTAGCTTAGGGCAAGGACCACCTGATTGAGAAATGCAGTCAATGGATTCAATCACTTTAAACATGTGCGTGCCCCGTGATTCACAAGTTTTTTTTAGTGGTGTTGCTTTCTCTGTGTGGTGTGTGCTTATGTAGGCCAGCTCGACGTCACCAGCCTTCTCCTGCCTATTCAAGATCACATTCTAGAGCGGCTACGCAGTCTTACCGTTAGTGCACGGTGGTCGTGGAATTGGATGTCTAGACATCCTGTTTCTTGCTCGCTGGTTCTGTTTGTTTGATCATGCTGCTGTGTGGAAACAGGTTCATATACATGCCATATATGCAGACATTGTAGCCACTAGAACTCAATCTCCGGCCAGCTAGCTGTTCAACTGTTCATTGTACAGTAGACATGTGTCTGAATCAGCAGTTACTGGTTTAAAGGACTGGACATGTGTAATTATATGGCATGTTTTGTGTGAACATAATACTATTATGCAGTTTGGCATCAGTGTGTATGATTGTGCTCCTGTGGCACAATGTTTCTTGTTGTCCTGTCATGTCTCAGAAATATGATGGAGGCAAAACGGCTGGATTGCGAGCACGCAGCCTGCTGCGACTTGCGCCCCGGCAAATCACTCTGCAGTGCTCCGAGTCAGACGTTCAAACGTATGTCGCGGTGGAGAAGGTGCTCATCGAGCTGGGCATCAAGGCAGCCATAACTGCGAAGAGCTTTGACTCGGCATCTAATGGTGAGAAATCGACTCGGTGCGATGTTTGTTTGAATGAGGCCGCTTCTTGACCGGACATTCTATGTGCAAGCATATGTGTGGCGGGCTAACTTCATTTTGTGTGACCTCTAAGAGCTCAGTATCATTACATGGCTATCTGAACATGATATGCTGAATGTAGACCAGACCCTGAAGAAACAATCCTCCTTTTAATATTAAAACTTGTATATTTGTGAGTTGGTAATGGTTACCAGCCTCATTGTCAACCAAGACTGCATGTTGACAATAGGGAACAAGCATACTATGAGGTACAAAACACGGTGTCTCGTATGTTCAGAGAACGGAGCGCGTGGGGTAAAACTGTACTTGTTCTTGTTACACTGTCACTAAGCGTTCGCTGTTTCTGCTCTTGTGTTTTCAGCCACCACTCTTCGTCACAATCTGATTTGTCTCACTGCTCCACCGTTGAGCCTGTCAACAGCTACACTTGGTGTACTAATGAGCCATCGTTCCACCTCAACAGTATTAACTCAGTTTGATGAGGTCGGTGCCTGTGTATGTGCAGTTCTACTCACTCGTACATGTACAATCACCTGAGCCGGTGTGCTGGCGCGCGCGTGTATGTGTACGTGTATGTACATGTGGATGTATGTGTGTGTGTGTGCATGCGTGCACGTGTGTGTGTGTGTGTGTGTGTGTGTGTGTGTGTGTGCGTGCATGTGTGTGCATATGTCTGTTTGTCTGTCTGTCTGTATGACGAAGACAATATTCGAAACCTTAATATATATGTGTCAATCAGTTCAGTCTTGCTCCTGTTGTGTGGTCTGCCTATCTTCCATTGCATTGTATGAATCCCTTGGCTGTACTTGTACCGGTGTGTCATTGTGTGGGTACATGTATAAGCTTTTGCCGAACTGTCTGTCTGTCTGTATATCTGTCTGTATATCTGTCTATGTGCTTATGGGCGTCCACGTCGGCATGCATGAGTGTATGCATGTGTGTGTGTGTATATGTGTATATGTGTGTTACTGTGTGTGTGTGTGTGTGTGTGTGTGTGTCTGTGTGTCTGTGTGTGTGTGTGTGTGTGTGTGTGTGTGTGTATTATGCTGCATCCAGAGGTTCATTGGGCGGCATGTCAGGTGTTTGATTGAGCTCGCCGAGCTGTGTTTTCCTGAGGATCCTGTTGCCATGCTTGTCCAAAAGGTATGTTCCACTATTGTGTGCTGCTTGTTACTGTCTTTTTGTGCGGGCTGGCAGGAAAGTTTGATACACGGCTTCCACTCCACCAACCAGGATATATACAGTAAAACCTGTAACTAGTGACCACCCCTTGGGGCCAGAGAAAGCGGTCTTTAGTGGCAGGTGGTCCTTAGTTACAGGTTTGCACCGCACAACAACAATATGAATGTGAGACCATCCGTGCCTGGCAAAGTGGTCTGTAGTACCAGGCTGGTCGCTAGTCACGGTGGTCTTTAGTTACAGGTTTTACTGTAGTGATATGTTGCCATGTGTTCAGCTAGGTACTTTCCGAATACTCTGTGTACCCTCAAAGGAGCGTTCATTTGGCTTCTTTTCGTTTGCATGGCTGGTCTGCTCACAGATCGAACAGTTCCCCGGTTTGCTGGATGTGGCCATCAACGTGGAGATGCGTAAGGCCCGGATTGCAAAGCTCATCAAGGAGACACGAGAGAAGAAGGCGAAAAAGCCTATGCCAACTGATAATATGCTGCTTGCATGTTCTTCCAGTGCTGATGTTATTGAGCCAGATGAAAATACTGTGCCGACCAGCACAACCAAGAGTAGTAAGTCTAAGACGGCCAAGTCCAAGAAGTCTTCATCGACCAATAAGAAGCCGATATCAATGCCCGAGTGTTCAGTAGATGCAGAGAAGCAACGAGGTGAGCCTTTCCTCTGAAACCACTGCTGTATCATCGTAATTTTAGTTGCCAACTTTCCATTGCAATAGAACCTTCTGCGAATAGTTGTTATTCCTTGATGGGGAGTTATAGTTATCTCATGATCACTGTGTCCTAGTCTCATTCGACAACGCATGCTTTATGACACATTGGTCACCCAGCATAGGCACTCTTACCTCTCCCCCCCCCCCCCCACACACACACACTACCTGACTATAAATACTCACCACTGGCAATACACGGTCACGCTGTTTCTTACTCTCCCTTGTGTAGAGGAGGACATTCGAGCTGCAACGCTATTATTCACCAACAACACCGTACTTTATGCAATGGATGACAAAATGCTTATTACGTTGTGGAGGTAAGTCAACGACTCAGGTACCGGTAAACTTGCGCTGAAATAAAACAGCATTACAGTCGGACCTCGCTTTTCCGGTCCTCCTTTATCCCTCGCCATCCGCAAGAAAATAGCTGGTTGCAGATATACAGCATGCGTGATGCATCCAACATAATCCTGTATTACAGGTTCAGAAAACGGGGAATGTTTGGTAGCAGAATTGTTACTTCAAGACTAGCTTATCACCGCTTGTTCTTAGCAAATCAAATGGAGAATTCCCTGACATGTGAATATAAGCTTACTCTGTCTGACCTGTGAACAGTCACTTGCTTATGTGACTCCGCTAGCTCAGATAATTAGCCGGATTGTGCCGAGTGATTAGTCTTGGGAGATGAACATGTTCTGTGACTTGAATCCTGCTTTGATTCGGAGGGTGGGCTCTGACCGGGTGGGCTCTGACCGGGTGGGCTCTGACCGGGTGGGCTCTGACCGGGTGGGCTCTGACCGGGTGGGCTCTGACCGGGTGGGCTCTGACCGGGTGGGCTCTGACCGGGTGGGCTCTGACCGGGTGGGCTCTGACCGGGTGGGCTCTGACCGGGTGGGCTCTGACCGGGTGGGCTCTGACCGGGACTGCCTATATAGCTACGTTCCCCATTGAGTCTCTGCTATTCAGTGTTTTGTAATAATATTTTAATTTGTTTTTGTTTTTCTCTGCTTTAGAATATCAGCCCGGCAGCCCAAGACGAGCCTGAATAAGATCCTAAAGGGCTAGTGAGTACAATTCTTTTTCTGGCTTCGCTTTGGGGCAAGCTTTCTTCTCTTTTTCTTGTTGTTGTTGCTGACCTTTTTTGTTCCGCTTCCTTTCTAGATGAGGGGGTTCTCAATTTGTTCCTCCCTCCCCCCTCCCCCACTCTCATGACATGCCGACATGCAGACCGGCAAAGTATTGTTGCCCAAGATAAAAAAGATTCTGGTTTGGATGTCTATGTTCATTGCGTGTCACTGTGCGGTGTTTCATTCTCCTTCAGTGTTTTCACACGTTCTGTAAACTATTACTCGTCCTGGCTTGCCCGGAGGAAACATTGGAGGAAGCCGAAGATTCGCGCTCTGAAATCGGTGAGTCTAAGAACTTTGTGGCTTGACTTTGGCTTCCTTTCTGGCCTTGACCATGGCTTCCATGTATGGCAGGGCGCGAAATAACGGTCGGACATCAGACAATTTCCGACCGTTTACGGTCAGTTTCCGGGTTTTTTGTACACATCCGGACAAAATGTCCGCGCACTTTTTTGCAAAGTACAAAAAAGAAAAGGCACACCAATCCTTTGTCTCATAGTCATTAGTGATGTCGTCTGGCAAGAGAAAGCCAAGCACCGCTGATGCGGGTGCTCCTCTTGGAAAGAAGCCCAGAGGAGTGAAGACGACCACTTGTGACAAGTGGGTCGCCGAGTATGATAGGGAGCTTTCAACTTCTGTTTGGCTGAGCTATGAGCGCAGTCCCTCAGATCGTAGCGTTGTCGAAAATTTGAAGTGATGTGTTCCCGTTTAGTTGATAAAATTCGCAGCAGCAAGAATTTTTCTGACTCAGACTATGTGCTCATAGCCTGCAGTGGTAAAACAGTAACTACAACAATTTTAATAATGCTCTTTTCACGTCGTGATAACATTTCGATGGTATTAATTCTACACTGAACATTGTGTGATTTGAAGTGAAAATTTGCATGTCCGGACATGTCCGGCCATTTTTGCAACTGGCAGGACATTGTGTGAGAGCACATTTTAATCCTTTGCGCATGCCCTGTATGGCATGTATCAGTCTGTTAGAAAGGCGTCAGCTAGCAGATCACTACTTTCCCCTGTATGCACCTGTGCACGTATAATCGTGCATAAAGGGCAGGTGTGTTCTTGTCCAAGCCAGTGGGAGGGACAGGCTCTTATCCAACCCAGGCGTGTTCTAGTATTACGCACGGTATATCAGCATGCATTCAAAATACGAATCGTTGTGTTGAACTTCCACCATTCACATTTGGTTTTTATTCGAGCCAGACTTTTGTGTAACACAGTACTGTGCAGTATGTGTGTTTTGTTTCACTGGTAACTTGCTGTGTATTTGCTTTCTGGTTGTGACAGGCCAATTTTCTGGACCCAGCGATGGTGAAATTCTTCAGGGATGTGCCTGGATACGCGTCAGATGCCACTGATGACCATACAGAGTGAGTAAGTCATGTAGCTCCGTGACTCATTGCACCACAGCTCCCAGTCGTGGTGAATTCGCAGTGATACGTCAATGGCTCCTCTATGCCTATGCCCAGTCTTGGTGAGTCCACAGTGATGCAGCGATGGCTGCTCTATGCTATGAAGCACAGGCATGGCTGCACTGGAGACCTTCCTACTCTGTTCCTGTGATCCAGCTGTAGTAAGGGATAGCGATGGGTCAACAGCTCGGTCAACAGCTCTCCAATACGCCACTCCGCCATTATGGGACGCGTCCCCAGCGGCACTGTGTCAACGAAGTCACTATCATTCACCATCTCTGTTGTCTGAAGCTGCAGATTTGCTTTCTCGGGGGTACAGCACACTAGTGAGCCTCGAAGCAACGCATCCCTTGCCAGACTCTGGGCCGCACTCAAACCCTCTGTGCAGACCCAACTCACTCACCGGGCTCTGGGTCGCAACTGAACAACCTGTGCCAAGCCAGCTCCGTTGCGGATGGTGATTCGACTGTTTCCGAATGCCGCAAAAGTGACACCCTGCAGCAGCTCCACAGTGAACAGGCCCGTATTGCAGATGCAGATGGAAGTGCAGCATTTCACTGCTCCGAAAACGCGGAGGAGCCTGAACAGGATGGAAAGGCTTTTGCCATGCCCCTACCTTGTCGCAGTGCCAATTTGGTACACACACAACATGTCAACGTTGCCACCGTGTTGCATGATCGGTATTGCTGCAGGTAGCTTGGTTCGCTGACTCTTCCAGTACGTTCCTATATACAAGTACATAGCATGCCACCAAGAGTAGATAAACAAGATTGTGCAACTCGCGAATGGGTAGGCCCACGGCGGAATTTTTGTTCACGTAATCTTTTCGACGACGCACGCGCTGCGAGTCGTTTCGGAAAGTTTTCTCTCGTGCTCTTGGCTGGCTTTACACTACAAGGTCGGTGCACTAGCACGTGTACTCACACTGCTCTGCGGCAAAATGTGTGTTCTTCTGAAAAAAGGTGACGTCAACAAAAAATTCCGCCGTGGGCGGGGGTATCTGCAGATTATGCAGGAGAGATCCGGAGTTGCACACTCTTGTTTATCTACTCTTGATGCCACCTTGCCCTGAAGAGGAGCCGGCTGGGCTGGAATCGAGCATGAACTGTTTTACGTTTTACCTTCCATGATAGCAAGAGTACATAACCATTATGTACTCTTGATGATAGGTATTTTGTGACTGACTCATTCTGCACTTGCTTTGGATAGCGAAATGAAACTGCTGATGCTACACGGATGATGTTTTCAAGTTGTGAGCCTTTCTACATGTAGTTCTGTAAGTACAGTAGTTCTTTTGGTTTTGATTTCTCGCGTTTGTTAGTTTCAGAAACTTACCAGTCATACTACATGTGTGTAGAGTTTTTTTCTCTGTAGTCCTTATTAGGTATTACCCCCCCCCCCCCCCCCCTCTATTCCATTGCGCTTCTCTCTCCTTTCTTCCTTCCTGCCTTTTTTTCTTTCTTTCTTTCTTCCTTGCTTCCTTCCTGCCTTTCTTTCTTTCTGTCTCTTCTATTCATGTAGAGTGGATGTGCGTGTGAGTGAGTGTCTCGTAGAAAGAATTTACTTGAACCCCCAATCTACCACGTGCTTTGCAATGTTGTTATCTCTATTCGGGATGCTGGACATCATACATATCAATTTTGTGCTTTCTTTCGTCAATATACATGTACTTGCATTGTGTGTGCGTGACCTGATCAGTGGAAAATAAGCCGCGCTGTTGCGTCGGTCTGCATGTACATGTACATCTGTACTACAGCTTCCATGCAGACCTAGTAGTACGTGCTGCCTTGCCAGACGTGACACAGAGCTTCATGTGACCAGCGCCACTCTTTGCCATCCTGTAACACAAGAGAGTGGAGTCTGTAACGGTATCGACATGGGGTTTCACCAATTGCTGGATGTGAGTCTGGCAGTAGAGGGTGTTTGTTGTTGTTGTTGTTGTTGTTGTTGTTGTTGTTGTTGTTGTTGTTGTTGTTTGTTTGAATTCTTTATTCTCACGATGGCACCATCGCCAATAAGAGATAAATTTATGAGAAGGTGAGATTGTGGGTTATGCAGTTGGAAAGTGATTTACATCACTTTGAATTTTACAAGTATGGGAGAGGGTGAGCGCTGCAGGAGCAGATTGAGTTAATCAGCAGTGAGCAGATTTCTTGTTTGAAAGCAGGTCGGGAGGAGACGTCACGAATGCTAGCAGGGAGGGCATTGTAGTATTCTAGGGACTTGTACAGTGGGGAGTCTTTACAGCGATCGGTTCTGGAGGGTGGGAGGTGCCAAGTGCGTGCGTGTCGAAGGCTGTACTGGGCCGTAACTTGAGCGGGGGTGTTGAGCATGCGTATGTGTTGTGGGGCATATTGGTATTTTATGGAGTGGGCAAGAAGGGTGAGCTTCACTTTGCGGCGAGAGAACATTGTCGCCCGGGGGGTTGATGTTGTTGTTGTTGTAGTGTTGTTGTTGTTTCAAATCTTTATTCTCACGATAGTTGTTGTTGTTGTTTTTGAATTTTGAATTCTTTATTCTCACGATGGCACCATCGCCAAAAAGAGATGGTGTTGTTGTTGTTGTTGTTGTTGTTGTTGTTGTTGTTGTTGTTGTTGTTGTTGTTGTTGTTGTTGTTGTTGTTGTTGTTGTTGCTATGGTCCCATAAAGACATAGACCAGTTTAGGAGTTGTTTCTCACAGATTACACTTCCTTTCAAGAGATCGTGAATACGATGAAAGAAGGAGAAACCTGAATGAGGATGAAAAGAAAAGAGGAGAGACAAGGGACTAGTATAGTATGGGGCTTGCTGGTAGCCTATGCTGAAGAGCCAGGACTAGCAATGCCGAACTATGGCCTCGGCGTTAGCGCTAGCTAGCCCACTGTCACGGAAGGAGAAAAGAGATGAATCATGCGGCAAGTACAATGTAGTACATGTAAATGTAGAATGGGAAAAGAAGAATGGACAGGACGGGGTGATCTAAATCTAGATTGTACTCTTGGCGTACACTGCGTATGTGAATCCGTGGTCCAACAATTTTTCCCGCAGATCTATCTGTAACCTATTCAGTTACCTTCGGTGACTTCTTTCACTTGTGATCTTTTTTCTCCTCCCCTCCCCATTACTATTATTATTATTATTATTATTATTATTAAATTTGTCATGTCGCTTGCATGTATAAAAGAAGGCGCCATCGCCTGTTTGTGTTGCGACTTTAAATAAAATTCAACAACAACAACAATTACGGAGGATTAGCAAGACGAAATTCGCGTTCGCCGAGTGTTCGTGAACATTTTCGGTTCGCGAACCTTCGCATTTTTCGTTCGGAAAAGTAGTCGAAACACGAATCGCGGATTCGTGTCAGGACAGTCATAAATTTACTACTCTGTTCTGTCTGTACACAATGACTATTATGTACGACATATCAACGTCATGCATGTGTGAATTCTGTTGGCTAATCCTTCTCATAACGCGAATTCCGTCACTGAGTTCGACTTTCCTTGGAGTGCGGACACGAACGCGAATTTCGTCTTGCTAATCCTCCGTAATATCAGCTGGTTTTGCCTCTGCTGTGTGCCTGATGGGGTTCTGGAGCATAAGCAGCAGATAATTCTTGCTTCGGGAGCTACATTTTAGCACACGAAGAGACAAAGCCAATTGCATGTGAACCTGATGAGGCTTTTCGTACCATTACTTCTCAAGTCATCTGGTGATAATGTGATGAAGCACAACGATGTTAATAATTTGTACAGCGCATTGTGGCGGTGAAATGATGATGAAACGTGCAAAAGTATTAGTTGGATGATGGTGCAGATTGTGCCAAAGATCACAATAACCATAGCAGGGAGGTAGGAAATCAAAATAGCACTAGCTGCCTCACAAACGTCTGTCTACATACTGACACAGCTCAGGTTCTCTTTACACAGCGGGGGTGGGGGATCAAGCCATGCCCAATACACACAGACTAAGTATGTGCAAATGCAATGGGAAGCCATTTATTTGGCCATCATTGCTGGCCTATCTCGCAGCGCATGGGCAGTACAGACCAGGGAGTTGCAAAACACCATACTGCCATTACTGGTCCATAGTCCATACTGCTCTGATACCATGGATACTGTGTGAGTGAAACCTGTCTAACTCAAACCCGGAGTCAAGGGGGCTTACATAAGTTACAACCATGACAACGGTCTGTACTGTAGTCTCATTTGACAGGAAACAGCACCCCTTGCCGCCTTGCCCTTGCCTTGGTCCTACTTCATGTAGTTGGTCGACTTGTATACTGTAGTTGTCTACTGGGACAGGTGGTCGTCTTATCAGAGTGGTCGCCCTGGCAGGTTATACTGTATTACGACTCTAAACGGTCCAAACTCGCACAGACTCAGTGCGCATAGCTAGTGTGGATCGCTTGGGCTTTGCGCTTCGTGAGACAAACAGCGGTTTCTGGGATGTTGCAGTCTGGTTTTTGCCATCCAGCCACAGCCGCCGTCTCCCAAGAAGGAACGCATCTGTAGTGGAAGGCGGTCACGTTGCACTACAGCACTCAACAACTAACTACTTACTTGACTATCGTAACGCTCGCAAACCCATTTGATTGCAATCATCGCCGTGTTTCGTGTATGGTGACCACGAAGTGTTGCTGACAGCAAGTGACGTTCAAGTAGAATGCCATGCCCTCTGCGTCGATTCCACTTGCCCTAGTGTGGTCTCTCGCCTTTGGCTTGCCCGAATGCCTTGCACCGCGTTGGTCGCGCTGAGCCCCACTGGCTCAACCCGGTCTCCGTGTAGAAAATAGAAAAAGCCTGGATGTCTTCATGGCGCGTTGATCATGTAACTTTGTTATGCTTTTCCGCAAGCTAAAGTCCAAAGTCGATATCCATGATATCGCCACCATCCGTCCCTCAGCACCTTCACTAGCTTCAGGAGGGTAACACGGAAAAGTTGTCCAGTGCCGTGGGTGAATGAAGTGTGAACACGGCGCGTAGATATTTATCCCGGACTTGATCGTGCAGACAACGACGCGGCCAGGCCAGGGCATGGCCACTGGCACTGATCAGTGCTACAGGCCCGGAGATTCTAACAAGGCGCGCTTGACCTCGGATTTGAGCGGACTTGATGGGAAATATAATTGACTTTTCCGAGCTTCCACCACGGTCCTGCTCGTGCTCACACTTCTCACTTTCACAGCTACATGTAGTATAGCTACAGCTGTAAGCCTGTATACAGTAACTGTTACTGATCTACCCCGATTTGTTTACCGCGCGCTGGTCCTGTGTGAAATGGACATAGCAAGCTATCGGCATCGCAGACACTAGTAGTATCTGGACTCTGGTGGTGGTGCAAGTCTTAGTGGAGAGCGCAGTCAGTTGTTACTTTTATCAGCTACGTGCATGCAATGATAATACTAGAACTGAGTGCACCAACTGCATTTCTGTATTTCTGGCGAAAGAGGAAACTCAGCGGCAACTGCTGTCAAGTGTCAGTGCTGGCACTGACTATCTTTGGTCCCTTCCAATATTTATTCCAAAGCGTTCTCCTGTCGGTACGTGTACTTCTAACGAGTGACTTGCACCGAAGTCTGATAGTAATAGATGGCTTTCGCAAGATAAGCTCAGGACCTGCACAGACAGCTGAGCTGGTAATAGTTATGGCGAGCAGGAGACAGTCTGTTGTTAGTACTGGCGGCTTTGCTAGAGATAGTGAATCCCGCCGGAGCTTCAGACGTATCCGCTTTCGTCTGCCCGGTCGCCCCGAGCCAGAGGCCCGCCGCAGTGTGCCCGTGGCTGTGGGTGATACTGAAGAAGAGGGTTTGGCCGGTGCTCAGCCTGCACAGGTAGTTGGCAGTAGTGCCAGCATTGGCAGTCCGCAACGGCTGCTGAGGTACGACTCCAGCCCCACACGACGGCGATGTAGGAGGGACAGCGCTGCGCTGTCCGTTGACGAAGGCGCTCCACAGCGCGGTGGTGCGCTCGCCGTTGATGAAGGTGCTACACAGCGCGGTGGTGCGCTCTCCATTCACGAAGGCGCACCACAGTCGGGTGGTGATTCTGGGGAACTTCAGCGACTTGTCGAGGAGTTCCCAGTTGAACCACAGCGACTATTGCAGCGGCCGGACCAGCAGGGCAATGCGCAGCTTCAAGATAACCAGTCAGAACGAGCACCGGAAACCGATCCTGACGAGCCATCCGCCGTTCCTGCCTTCTGTGGTGAAGATAGTATGTCAAATCTTCTAAGCGAGTCACCAGAGCCGGTAGCCGAGATTCCAGCCATAGCTGAAGAAGAAGAAGAAGAAGAAGAAGAAGACGACGCGCAGGGCTATGTTGTAGGTGTACAAAGAACGAGCAAGTCAGGTGAGGCATTATCAGTGCCCATTGTCGAGCGATTGTTTACCAAGCGGTTCCTGTATAACTCAATGACCAGCCGGCTGGCAAGAGAGCCGGAAGCTTATGACGAACCTGGCAGTACTCAGAACTTACAGAAGTGTGTACCGAGCGGGATGTCCTATTACGAACGTCTCCTCAAGATCTATGGGCGGACTCCAGCGGCTGACCACACGTTGATCGATAGAACGGACCACAACCGCATCAGCTATCCACTGTTCCCCAAATTGGATCCGAGCATACAAACTGCTGGCGACGACAGTGGGAGCGATGACAGGCCATTTCATGCTAATCCGTGGCCGCTGTCGGCTGCAGCACGATTCCGCCTTTGTGGCGAGGAGTGGAGCAGAGTCCACGGCAGTTACCCAATCAACGAGACTGACAGTGAATGTTTGCATGCATTTGCATGCTCCTTACCGCCATTTGTCAAAGCAGAAATCTTTGGCAAGGACTGCTGTTCCTTTCCTCCACCAGTGATTCCACTTCGGCCAGGCGCGCAGACCACTAGGGTAGCCCGCATCCCTCGGTGCTCAACGTACGAAGTTACTGAAGCAACTCAACCCGTTCATTTTCCGCAACGATATCCTGCGCCAGAGCTACTCAGAGCACATCCGGGCTGGACCGCATTCACCTCCAACAGCGTCGAGGCTGTTAAAGAGTACATTACAGAACAGCAGAAGGCCATCGATGACCTGCTGGAGGAGGTGCAGTTTCAATCAACACGCCTTGCACTGCTCACACGGGTACGCGAGTGGGAGAAGTGCAACGGCTACAGCCTGCAGACATTGCCACCGAACGGAGCGGATGGCGAATTTGCCTGTTCCCTGCCTGAGGCATTGAGGAAGCTGTACCTTCATCCCATTGCCAGTCAGGCTTTCTCACAGCTTCCGGAGCTTTGCCTGGCCTCTGAAGTTGCACTGTTGCACAACAACGATGGTTCAAGTTCAATACAATATCTGCTTGAAGAAGTTCTCAGCAAGCACGATAGTGGACCCGATCCTATTGCATCTGCTAGTACTGATGAAAGTATTGCACGAGTTGCTGCCTGGCTGGAAGTGTCACTAGACGGCCATAGTGTTGCGAAGTGTTCTGATTCGGGTGAAAACATCTCGAACACTGGGAAGTCATCAGGTGAACTTGGGTTGCATGCCGCAGAGGGTGCATTGCCAGCTGCATCCTCCAGAACAGCTGCGAGCCGGTTGGCTGCGTCTAGTTCGCGCGGAGCTACTTCACTACATGAAGTGGATGCTCTACCAGATTTTGATACTGTTATCCCACCAGATAAAGTTTCTGATATTTCAGTGGATGATGTACCAGACATTGATGTTCCAGCGGAAGACAGTGTGCCCGATAATCCTGATATTCCATTCCATCAAGACATAGGACAATTGCTTGCGTTATCAGCACAACAAGTACCACCGCACGCCCTTCCACGGCCACCACCTCCTTTGCCTTCTTCTCCAAAAGCCATGAAGACCAGGACGGCACAAGTAGTAAACGATTTGACGCCGTACTACTCTGGTCCGTTGACACTAAGTCTAGACGAACAAAGCCGCAAGGGCGAGGACCACCTGGAGTTACCAGATGCAGCTGCATCGGCTGCTGAGGACCCGGCATCTATCAAGGCACCACGTTTACTGGATCAGCTGTTTGAGATTGAGGATCAACCATTAGCCAGTCGATGTGATAGTAAGCCGGATGACCGTCGCATGTTGTTAGCTTTGGAGGAGAAAGACGAGGACTACTCGGGTCCGTTGACACTAAGTCTAGACAAACAAAGCCGCAAGGGCAAGGATCACCAGGAGTTACCAGATGCAGCTGCAGCTGCATTGGCTGCTGAGGACCCGGCGTCTATAAAGCCAGCACATTCATCGGATCAGCTGTTTGAGATTGAGGATCAACCATTAGCCAGTCGATGTGACAGTGAGCCGGATGTCCGTCACATGATGTTAGCTTTGGAGAAAGAGGAGGAGGACAAGGACTTTCCTCAGCCGCACAACATTCCTGTTACACCTACAGACAAGGGCGGAAGAGAATCGGTGACATCCCAGCACAGTGAGGACGCCGACTTCCCTCAGCCGGATAACGTTCCTGTTCAAGTGACGCCTACAGTCGCAGGCGCAAGAGGGTCGGTGACATCCCAGCACAGTGCACAGTCCGCAAGTGGCTTCAGTCTTCACCAGCGTACCCATGCGCGTTCATCATCACGCTCACGCTCTATCCGCAGGACTCAGGTCAGCATTGGACTGCTGAGCCTGAGTCAGGAAAGCGTCCAGCATGCCAATCCGACGAAGGCATCCTCTCAAACCCAATGACAATCCGCTCCACCTGCTGGCAAGCTGCGGCAACTGCAGAACGTACACCAGCAACATCCAGCCATTGCTACTGCATACCAGGCCAGTGGTAAGCTTGTGACAATGTGCAAATCCAACTCTCTTCTTATCGGTGCTTGCTTACTAGCAGCTTCAATGGTGCTGTATGTTGCGTTTGCCAGAGGTGGACCCTGAGTGATATGCTTGTTGTCAAGCATACGAATCTGGCACACTATGTCTGGATTTACAAGTTGACTCTGATGAGCACGGAGCGTCCTTGAACTTGAATCAGTCAGCATCATCACCATGTCGTAGTGAGTTGGACTTAACATCATGCATGCCCGGTCACGTGACTGTGTTAGTACGCAAGTGGCCAAGGTTTTCATGACCAGTTTTGTTGCAGTCCTGCACCGCTTGCGGCTTCCTCTTGGCTTAAAGCCTGGACCACATGAATACATCGGATTTGACTGAGCTGTCCCTCTGCTCTGGGACATAACCGTGACAACTGGTATGCTCCGAAGGAATACCTGTTGGAAGCACTAGGCTCTCTCTGCCTCTCGTATACTAGGCCGTTCTGGCATTGAATCACCTGTTGTGCAAAGAAGCATGTGTCATACTGGAAATCATCCTCTCACCAGATGTTTCATACAGGTGTAGTTCGGACAATCATATCCACGCAAACGAGTTGTTGACTATAATTTATTTTTTTATTCCGATCAATGATTCGATGACTTGGTTGGGTGTAATCGTGCCTTCTACTTGAACTGAGTCAGACAGGCTATCATTGCCATATTATTTTTTATTACAATTTAAGTGCCGTGCTGTGCCACCACCTCGGATTTTGTTTTGTCGCAAGTCTTCTTGTTCTTGATGGCTATTGTCTTTCTCCATCTTCTCTGTGGTCATTGCCTGGGTTCCGAGTGTGATGTCCGCACTTCTTGTGCTTGCTGAGCTGCATTGCCTGGTCTCATTTATCTGCTCAGTAGGCTTTTTTAAACCCGTTTTGGCAATCGCAGCCGCAGTTGTGTGTGTGTGTGTGTGTGTGTGTGTGTGTGCGCGCGCGCGCGCGCGCACGCATGCATGTGCACGGTGTGTGCCCGTGGCCGGGGAGGGTGCTGGGTTGGTGCATGCCCCACCCATCAGTGGACGCTCCCAGTAAGTTCACTGTTCACCTGTAGTGTGAGCCCGCAGTGAGTAGTATAAGTTGTCATATTCACAGAAGTCAGTGTGCTACTATACTCCCCACGTGGGTGCACATCCAGTGCATTTGCAGATTTGCGTGCTTCTCTTGCGACGGGCGTATACATGGTATACATGGTATACTCCCCACACTGGCTTTCACGACCCCCTGGTTTGTACGACTCGCTGGTCGAGGGCAGGGAAGTGCACAGTCCTGTACTCAATGACAATGCCTATCATAGTATACCGGTATTCATACCTCGGTAATCCGGACCATGAAGTATTAGTTACGGGCACTTAGGTCTACCGGGCACCCCGGTTTGGGCGAGTTTCAGTGGAAATATTACTACTCCCTTGTCACTTTCAATTTTAGTGGACTGACGTCACATGCCTTTAACTAAGGATATTTCAAAGTTACGGACTGTTATGTCTGTGCCCGGTCCCGAATCGCACCGACTGCCCGGATAAGGGGGCCCTGACCTAGGAGAGCATCCAGGGAATAATGCTACTTTGCTGACTGTACACTACTGTACTCCCAGTATTGTATTTTGGAGATAACTCGTACATGATTGGATCCGAAGACTGAAGAGTTCATAACCCCTGGCCTAGCCTGGGTTATCACCATGATCACGGACAGGTACAGGGACTCAGCAGGGAGTCGTAAAAATGTAATACCGTACCCCCCCCCATACTGTGGTACGGTATTTGGCGCATGTGCACATGTGCATGTGCCATATTGACGTAACCCCTGCATGCAAATGGGGATCCCCCTTGTCTAATGTCGTTTTGATTTTTTGAGCTGAGGCTGAAATCAAGAGTGGACTCTTGCTGAAATCAGGAGAGTTTTGCATTTCACTTGAGATAAAGCTAACAAAATGATTGTGTATTTGTAGCTCGAGCTCAGCAGTGTGTTTGTGCGAGGATATCGTTGTTCTCCGTCATGTTTGAGACGAGTTGAGTGTTGTCCTGCTTGAAATGAACAATGAATAGCGGAGGTGAAAAGCCTGTGACTCGCCTACCTACTGTGATTCTCATTCACTGCACGACGGAGAGCAGTGCGCCATGTGGGAAAACATTCATGATAGAGACTGCCAAACCGGGCGCTGTCAGTACCCCCTCTAGAGTGTCCAAATCAGCATGGACGGTATCCGTAGAAGGTGCTATCGAATACACGCGTGTGGTTTATGACTTGTTTCCAGAAAGATGCAAGGTTAGATTATATGCATTTGAAATTGTGCAAGGCCGAAAGCAAGAGATTGTTCGAACGCATTTCTGCACAGCACTCCAATCTCGATTAAAATGCAATCCACACTTCTCACACTCATTCTTGAATTCTTCAAGATCACAAATTACATTCTGAAATACAACTTTTCTAATCATTGTGTGCCCACTTCCGACTACAATGTTTAGTCTTTGCAGTATTATGAGAAATGATCTTATTGATTGCGGACATCAGCCACCCATTCATTGTTCATGCACAGAAAATCTGCGCTACACTGTATTGGCGGCCAAGCTTGAGCACTGTGTGAACTTGCGGGGTCAATGCCTCAGTGTTCCGTGCACGTACTACCGTTGAAAGCTGTTGTTGAGTGGTATTCTCACTGTGTGGCTGGCCCGTGCGCTGCTCTTTCGTGTCTACGTTGCAGGTTCAGGTGATGGTGCACTCAAGTACGGGAACACAGCTTCTGAATTCTTGGGAGAGTGAAGAGCAGCGGCTTCCTCTGGTAAGATTTACATCATACATGTAGATGTTGATTGCTCTTGTAATCAGTGGTCCACACGGGTAATGACTACAGTGCATTCATCCTAAACCGGCGTCGTAAGTCGAACGTATTGCTTCAACACTTTCTGCTTACCATACAGGTCTTGGCTGAAATCGGTCGAATTGGAGCACCTCCTGCCACCACAGCATCCTGCGATATTCCACCTGGTGTTTCGGCTGCCATTGAGTCGCTAGGTGGCATGTTTCAGAAACAGGGTACCGCCAATAGCGGGTCTGCCGACACACGGGCTCGTGTCATCATTCTCTCTCCTACGATTCGGTAATGTATTTAGTTGAAGTGTTCCTGTCTGCGTTTTTGATGCCGCCGTTCATCCATAATTTGAAGCTATTTTAACCACTTACAAACCAGTGCCAATCTTGAATGTACCTTTCTGGTCCAAGTTGATCACTTTTCGTTGATCTTCGTTCTTCTTGTTGCGTAGTTCGGAGCGTATCTCGGCAACGGCGCGGTCCATATCTCAACTACTACGTGCGTACAACCAGCAGGTGGCACAGAGCAATGACGGCAGGTCAGTTTAGGCACATTTCTATCTATTGTACACCTGACTAGGTGCAGTACTGCACAATGAAATCCGATCGAGTCGCTCAAGTACGTGCTGGGCGTTGCGCAGCCCCAGACCTGCGGACGCTGGGCTGCGAAATGGTGCAAGGCGCAAACTTGACTCACGCGACCGGATTTTATTGAGCAGCGCTGTAGTTATCAAACGCTCCACTCCGACCTGAGCTATTAGTGCGGTGCTTGCGTTTGCGTTTGGAAATTTGATGCTCATCCTGACCAACTTGTGCCTATGCAACACACAAGAACCATTGCCATCATTCTTTCACACAGTTACCTGTAGTACTGTGAACTGTGAACTGTGGTCAACGATTCTACATGTTATATTCTGTATCTCTGATGCTGCGTGGTGTTGTCGAATATTTTGTAATTTTGTTCTGCCTGTACGCTGGTGTTGTAGGTGTGCCGTGCAAGGTCTGGAAGTGGAGATGATCCACCTGACAGAGAACACTGTGCCTGCAGAGAAGGCTGTTCTGGTGAGCAAGAGCTGAGAATGCAGTGAATCACTTCAGCAACGTCCAGAACCCACTACGCATGAATCCACTACGTATGCATTGCCTAATTTTGTTGATAAACTTCGAAGGAGTGAAGTAGAATACATCACTCTCTCAGTCAGTCTGATCGCATCATGATAGATCACAAAATAGCAACAGTGACTCTTGCTTTGTAGAAGCTACACCGTAGAATCCCGCAGACAATGGTCTATCTGATTCTAAGGGGCCATTGGAAGCAAGTCAGTACTCTACAGGAGTTTTCTATGCATACATGCACCCAGTTGTGTTCAATGTACAGATCGTGAAGTAGTTCTGGGCCAGGGCAGTTGGTTAGTCTCAAAGCCCATTGAAGTAACCCCCCTCTCTCCCTCTCTCAAACATACACACCACCACCACATGGGAGGGAGAGAGAGAAAATATAGGGGGAGGACATGTGTATGCATACAGTTTATGTGCAAAAAAGGACTCATGTTATTGTTTAGTTAGCAAAACCAGTGGGCCCCAGTGTAGCATATCCTTGTTATGCTGGCGTGCTTCACTTGCTTTGATGCTGTCCAGCCACCTCATATATCCCTGACGGTACACTCCTGCTTTGGCCAGCGCCTAATGCCGTTGATGTCCAGTCTGTGTCGTGAACACTACAACATGGCATCTACAATCATCACTGGCATTCCTATGAAGGTGAGAGACTCGATTCACTGCTGCTAGATTTTTCGAGAACACTTCCATCATGGTCTTGTATGCGTGTTCCTCTTAACACTGAATGTATGTCCCGGGTATGTCATTCATGCACGCTATACGGTGCTACAAACAAGAAAAAATAACAGTTAGCAAGTACTTCGAAATAGATTCATTGGATCAGTCAGATTTTGGCGCGATAGCATGGTAGCCATCTCATCCTACTTGCTGCTGACACTAACTGCATAGTACAGTGGAGATTGGATATAACGACCTTGGGTATAACGACAAATCGAGTTTAGCGACACAATTCTGTTGCCCCAGTCGTTTAGCAAGTCCTTTCTGTACATTATAGATCGGGTATAACGACCTCGAAAATAACGACAGATCGAATTTACTGACACTTTTTTGGTGCCCGAAGACCTGAAAAACAGTGAAAATACATCGGATATAACGACTTTCCTCTTGTATCAGGCAGACTGGCATGTCTGGAACATGGTATATGGCTGTGCCACGTGCCCGGACCTCCGGGTCACTCAATTATGTGTGCTTTACATTGCATGTTGTAGCCGCAGTGCAGCGGTGCGGGATGACTTTACCTAAGGTCCTTGAAGAATGCATGCAAGACACATGACTGTACAATCATACACATCTGTTATCCACATGTACAATCATCTACATGTATATCTACAATACGTTTCTGTCATTTTGATATACATATTGCATACTATGTGAAGATCGGGTTTAGTGACAGATCGAATATAGCGACATTTTGCTTTCTCCCGAAAGAGTGTCGTTATATCCGATCTGCACTGTATGCAGAAATATGGAGATTGGATTGTGTGCTGCAGAGTATTCCACTGGTTCTATGGTATATCAGCTTATTAGTGTTCATCCTGTGAGTATGACTTAGGATGTTGTCCCCTGACCCGCGAGTGAATCTTGCAGCCGGATGTGATATGTTTATTACTTGAGCATATTGCACCTTGGCATGAGCGGCAGTAACAAGCCTTTGCAAAAGTAAATACAGCTGTTGTAGAGTACAACAAGGGCAGTGTGGTGAAAATGAAACAGATAAAGTTATGGCACTGGCAGGACAACTCACTCGCATTATTGTTTAGAAGGTGTGGAATACGCAATCACAGCAGAAATAGGATCAATCATATTTCGCATGACTGTGATTAGACACTTGACATTCACACCTACAGAGACTTAACCATCTAAGTAAAACTCTTTCAACAAAATGTTGGCTTCAGTGTTGTTTACTCCCTTTTTTCCATTGTACGTTGCAAATGAGACTTGAATGAGAACCATGGCTTGGATAGCAGAGCTGTGTATTGTATTTATGTGAGATGTGTGATGACCTGATGTTGTGCATTCTGATGCTCTGTATCGCTGCACAGGAAGAGCAACAGGGAGGCGTGTCGTGCAATTATGATGTTGAGCTGTTCCATGAAGCTGATATACACAGAGATTTGCTACCCTTAGGTGAGGCAGTGAGCTTAGGCTGCTTGCTACTTTCGGATGTCTCTTTGTGAATTACTATGGAGATAGTGGTTGGCATGAAGGGAAAAGGAGAAAGTATCCGAGAATCTGTGTGTGTGTTTGCGTGCACGTGTGTGTGTGTGTGTGTGTGTGTGTGTGCGCGTGCGTGTGTGTTCGCTATCATCGCTTCCGCGATGGGCATGTCTGAGGTCTGAGGTGTGTTTGCGAGAAAATCTGTGGGTGCACATCCAGCGCATTTTCAGATTTCCGTTCTTCTCTTGCGACGGGCGTATACATGGTACATGATACATGGTGTGTTTGCGTGCACGTGTGTGTGTGCGTGTGTGTGTTTGTGTGTGTGGTGTGTGTGTTTGTGTGTGTGGTGTGTGTGTGTGTGTGCACGTGCATGCGTGTGTGTGTTTGTGTGTGTGTGTGTGTGTGCACGTGCGTGCATGTGTGTGTCTGGTGTGATACGATGTAATTTGCTGGTAATCGTGTATGAACATTCCTTACTACATTTGCTGTTGAGCTGTTAGTCCTGGTGCCGTTACACTCTCATCCATTGTAATGTTACGTACGAATCTTTGGTTGCCATGCACAGGCCTGCCGGTTATAACAACTGGTGCGGACAGTGGACATCAGCACAGCAGCGTGACGCTGCGCTGGTCCAATCCGCGCACCATAACCCTGGACGTTCAGTTTTGCTCTCACTCGTGCCGCGTCTCTCCGGTAGAGGTGAGTGGAACGAGACGTTTTGCATGCCATGTGCTGTGTGTTGTCCTCATCAACACAATACTGCCAAGCAGGCTATTGTGCTATATGATTTGAGAAATGCATCAAATTTCTCCATAGTGTTGTGGTCTCTTGATGAATAGCAGTAGTGCCGGTATACCGGTAATGTGCTTGTGGTGATCATTCTATTTGTAGTTCAAGCATGTAAGTTGTAAATGTATTGCTAATTATGTATATCTAACAGTGCAACTAATTGGCTTGATTTTTGCACTCGCCAGGTGAACTCGCGTCCGTCGTCTTGCCTGTTCAATTTCGTACTTGGCGGTAAGTGCAATATGCTAGTACTGTACATGTGGACTGTCCTGCCCCATTGATTCCTGGACTATCTTGCCCCATTGGTTCCTGGACTATCTTGCCCCATTGGTTCCTGGACTATCTTGCCCCATTGGTACTACACTGTCCAGCCCCATTGGTACAACACTTTCCAGTCCCATTGGTACTGCACTGTCCAGTCCCATTGGTACTACACTGTCCAGTCCCATTGGTACAACACTTTCCAGTCCCATTGGTACTACACTTTACAGCCCCATTGTTTCCTGAACTGCCCAGCCCCACTGGTTCCTAAAGTTTATTCTTTATAGGGCCCTACATTGTAAATGGCACGATCCTAATTCTAGCCCTTGTATCATGATCGTGTTGTATGCAGTGTGAGGTACTTTGAAGTACAGTTACATGTCGCTTTTCCGACTTCCAGACATCCGCTTACACGCACACTTGCATCTCTCTCTCTCTCTCTCTCTCTCTCTCTCTCTCTCTCTCTCTCTCTCTCTCTCTTCTTACAGGCCGGTCAGTTATGTTGGAACAGCCGCGGCGCACTAATTTTAAGCATGTGTCCCACATACTGTTCAATCATGGAGGTAATTTATGATGTACTCGTACTTGATCCATTATGACATCATTGTGTAGAAGGGGATTTATTATGGATTGTGGACTATATATTAGCCTTATTAGGTGAACTTTTGTTATGGCCGTATTTGTTGAGAGCTAAAATTATTGTGAAAATGTTAGCCTCAATCCGGATCTGTAAGAAGTTGTTTCCCTCTAACTGTGACTGTGTGGGTGTGTGAAGTGTTCAAGATAATCATTCTGTCTGAATGTACTTTTCTGATGATATGAGGGCATGTTTGGGGTTTCTGGTGCAGGGGACCTTTGACTTGTCATTTTTCTTGTACATAACATTCAACCTGTGTGAATGTAGCCCGCAGAGTGTTTCCAGTGTAAAGCTCCTTGCATTCTAGACTTCTTGTTATGAATATTCTCCATAAACACTTTGTTCAGGGCAAGATCACGTGGGAATGATGATGCAGTATTCTTCTTGGAATATGTAGGAAAATCCAAACCATTTAGGACCCTTGTATGAATAGATATCGGCATATTGTGTATCGTTTGCTATTGTCCCTTCTCCTGCAAAAAAAGCATTTGGTTTAGTGTAATGTCTCTATGATGTCCTGCTACCCATTCTGTCCTTTGTTGTGTGGCTGATAGGTGGCGTGTTTTTGCATTGCCTGCCGAACGGGAAGTCGTTTCTCGAAGATCCCCCTTCCATCAGCGAGGCCGCCGGAGGAAAAGTGACCGACTACCGAACAAGTGTATGTAGTCATGAACAGTGCACTCACTCAAATGACTGGTTCAGTAACTGCCTTGGGCGCTTGGTTGTTTCCCCACTCCAGCGGCAGAAGAACATTTTGGTTGAGCTTCTCTTACTGTTTCTGTACGCTATGGGCTTCTTCCCCACCTCGTTTGATGTATGCCTATTGGCTACTTCCTGAATTATGTCCTAGTCGTTTATAGCCATGGAAGATTGTGATGAGCTGTGGTGCAGGCAACCGGCTCAAATACCTAATGCAACGGCAACAACCTGCTCCAACTAGTTACGGTTAGGGAAATGTAGTACTCTCTTGACTTTCTCAACTTGTCGGGAGGGCCAATGTTTTTCTTGCTGTGGCGTAAATGCTCTTTTTTCTTTCCTTTGTATGCTTTCATGTGGGGTCTTCAGGAATTTGGTGTTCTCATGCGCAGCAATCTACTGGTGCCGTTTGCTGAAGCGCCCAACACTGCTGGAGACATGCTTCCGGTAGATCGAGGTGAGTGTGCGCTTGGCTGATATCGACATGCTCACAGAGTCTGGGCCATAATTTGCCTTGAAAATAATAATATAAACCGAAATATGATGGTGTTAAACACACAATTCATGAGTAAATTTGCGAAAGGCGTGCATGCACATTGCGATTGGAGCGAAGTCAGACGGACGGATGGACGGACGGAAAGACAGACAGACAGACAGATAGACAGACAGATAGACAGACAGATAGACTGACTGACAGACAGAAGTGATTGCAACTTTTAGAACCGTAAATGTAGTCTGTTCTACACTTTAAAGCAGCATGCTATTAGTGTTGTGGGGCTGGGAAGTCTTGGGCCAGTGGCCGAATTGTTAAAGAAGCAGCAACATCTCTCTCTCTCTCTCTCTCTCTCTCTCTCTCTCTCTCTCTCTCTCTCTCTCTCTCTTTCTTTCTGTTTCTGTTTCTGTCTCTCAACACCCATACACTCACACTCACTTGCTTTGTTGCTTTTGGCTATGTACATAGAATTATAACAGTAAACTGCACACTGATAGTATTGTGGACTTCATCAACCCACCAGATTTGTCTCATCCTGCTATTACCTGCAGCTTTACAGCAATTGGAGAGGTCGACGCGGATCTGGCCTCTTGTGTATGGCGATACTGTTTTGTTCAACATGAACGAAGTAAGACGTGTCACTGAATTGTTGCATTGATTCACTGTCTCTCCCTTCCGCACACTGTGCCCCTGGTATCTCTTGTATATCCGCCGTATTTGGGCTTTGCTGATTTGAGAAGAGCACCATCATGTTGGGAGTAACCTACAAGTAGCACTCGCAGGTTGTCACCTGGGTGTGCTTGGGAAATGGATTTGTTGTCGGGATTTTTCAACAGTTGTGCTAAGCGTAATATCAAGAGTACATAACCCCAAGAGTGTGCAACTGCCTGAACAACCTCCATCTAGTGCTGCGACGGCAGAACTTCACAGCACGTGACATGGTTCAACAGGTTACGCTGGCAAACAGTGCAAAGTAACCACAAGAGAGTTGAACCCAAAGCGGAGTTGCATACGACCCTGTATCTATCATGCAAAGGGTGCGAATAATGTGTACGCGTTCGTCAAGTGATGTGAAGTTCTACCGTCGCAGCCCCATAGCTGGAGTTGCACACTCTTGGGGGTTATGTACATGTGCTCTTGGCAATATACATTGTCTTGTTATCGTAGTGACCATGCAGGTCAACTTTCTTCTGCAGAATTTCAAAATTGTGGATGACTTGACGGCTGGCCAGTTTTGTTGAATGTCTTTTCTGGCACAATGTTGTAATGCCGTTGATCTTCGCTGTTCTGCCTGAGTTTTTTAGGAGGTGCAGAATCTTCTCACTCTGTTGACGTATGAACGTCTTTCTGACCAGCATCTCACTGAATGCAGACGAGTAAGTGCAGAAACCAAGTGTGTTCGTCCGCATGCCAACCCTTCTCACAATTCAGCTGGCTTCTGCCAAGTGTACATCTACAATTTATAGTGTTGTATTGTATTGGTTATTGTTGAAGCAGAAACTCCCCCCCCCCCCCCCCCCACACACACACACACCGCGTCAATATGTACAGTATATTATTACCTAGGGCTGTTGACTTCCGACAAGCCCGGGGATATTTCAAGTACATGTATTACATACTTATTTGGGCGCTTGTTACACCGCTGTTGTCTTTGTCCGAATGTTTATGTTACTGTCCGCGGCATAGCTGAACTTTTATAGATCAAGTGCGCATGCAGTATGGCCCAATCCTTTCTTGATGTGGACAAGGGGCTTGCACAAACGTTCTCTAGCATTAGTTTTGTTTCTTCACGGCGTGCTTCCAATGTCTGCCTGGGAGATACATGTACTACTTCTGTCAGACCCTGTTATCGTCTTGTCTTGTTCTGTTGTGCTGTGTCATAGGTGATTTATCAGTTGCAGGCAATGGAGGGAAAGAACCAACCTCTTCCCACCTTGTCTGGTACAGCTCGGCAGAAAACCGGCCATAAGAGGTATGACTGCTAGCTGCTGTGCTTTCCTTTCCAGTGTTGTGTATGCACAGCTTCTACCACTGCTTTTGTAACGATGTGTGCGTGCGTATATCTACCTGTATATGCGTGGTGGCTGTGCGTGTTCTCTCTGATATGCTTATCTTAGTTCCCGCACGGCATGGAATTGCCGTGTGTATATCAACCCGGTTTTGGATCGCGCCTCTTGCAGATATCCCCGGCTACAGTATATTGTTCCCATCTAGCTTTGTAGGTACTGGTGCTGACTACTCATCAGGTCAGGAGCCGAGGCAGCCGGGTCTGGCATGGCAAGACCACCCATTGTCGTTCCATGACTCCATACACGTGATGATCATAGTCTAATGTATACAGTACTGTTGCAGTGGTGGTGCATGGTGTTACAGCTATCCTCTACTAGTACTCGTGAAGCTCTCATCGACCGCTTCATGTACGTATATGTGTTGTGTTGCTGTTGCTGTTACAGAGAGGATCAGTACCGTCAGCTGTGGTCCGAGTTGGAAACGGTGGTGGTCGCCGCAAGCACTACGTCTCCGCGCCATCAAGAGGTATGTTGCGTCACGATCAGCTCTTGCGGTTGATGTGCTGTTTGCTTGTTTTTTTTGTTTTGTGCAAGGACTTGAACAAGTTGTACGCATAGTGCAGTATACTGGTAGGTGTGTGTAGTTGAGTTCAGGTAACATTCAATAATCTGTGGGCTTTCCAATTGCACTAGCTGCAGGACCTGCATTGACTTCTGCCACTCTGGCACTGAGTCTGTGTGTACAAGTTTATCACATGCCCGCGCACGCACACACACACACACACACACACACACACACACACACACCTATACACACACACACGCAGCTGAGCTGCAGTTGTGCAGTAGGAGACTGTTTGATAGTGACACTTGCAGGCACTGCATTACTGTAATTATGTAATTCAGGAATTTTGCCAAAACAGCCACCCATCCCTGCTGCATGCTCTCTCTCTTCCAGTACCCTGCTACACCAGGTGGCTTGCAAGGAATGTGACTCAACAACACCTAATCCTCAGTCTGACAAGAGCAATTGCAGTTACTTTAGTATGAAGATGTTGTGTTCAGTTGACTTCCGTGAACCGCCCATGCAGTCGTGGCCTTCACTACTTTTGCTGTGGAAGCCAGTGCTTTGGACATCACAGTATTAAATACTATGTACATCTAAAGATTCAGGGAGCACGTGAAATTTTCACGTGCTCCCTGAATCTATAGATGTACATAGGTCTGGGCTGTATCAAACACAGAGCTATAATTATTATTGTGCTCTGCTCTGCCGTGTACTGTGCTATATGCTCTGCTGTGTGCTCTGTGCTGTGTGCTGTGCTGTACGTGCTATGTACTCTGCTGTGTGCTTGTTGTCATGCTGTGCTATGCAGGTGTTGGAGTCGTTGCGTCAGTGCCGCTCAGTGGTGAATCGCAATAGCTTCAGTCAGTCTGATGGCCGCCAAGTCCCAGCTCAAGGTCAGCTACGTCGTTTTGTTGTTAAAAGTTGTGTGAATGTATGTTAGCGTGTGCACTTTATGGACACAGCGTGCTAGCGCTATGGGGTGTGTTAGCTGTTTAACGATGATATCAACTGTGCCTGTTCCTTCCAGTGACTTGGAACACGCTGGAGCACGAAGGCGGTGATTTAATTTAGAAAGAATCGTTTTCCTGCCAAATGGGCACGTGACCTTGCTGAGAAATCACATGCCGATTTGTACTCCTTTAGAGAAACACATCACCTCCCTAGTTTGATGTGTACAGTCAGACCTCGCTTATCCGGTCCTCTTTTACCCGGATCCCTCGCCATCCAGAAGAACATCGTTGGTTACCAATTTACAGCATATGTCATGCACACATACAGTATGTGTGTTCGATTATCCGTTCCCTCGCCTATCCGGATATTTTTGTTGAAAACGAATTTGTGCGTTTAAGCGAGGTCTGTAGTAATGTGCTGCCTTAGCTGCATGGTCTGAAAGTTCTGCTGCTATCTCCTTCTACATGTGTACTCGTTTTCTTTGTGTGTTCAGGCAATGCAAGTAGTGCTGCTGGATCTCGTGACTCGGTTTGGAAAGAGTATGATATGTGAGTTGAAATATGTTGTAGCATATTGCTGTAGTGTAAGCTTTGAGCTCCGGCCCCCTCTGCTCGGAGGTGTCCCGAAATGCCATCTGTGCCAAAGCCTTTGCATAATAATGACTCGGGGTGAACGAATACGAATATTGACTATCCGAATATTCTTTCGTTTACGACTGCGAAACTTTAATAATTGATCACATGTGATGAATTGGTGTATGATACCAATAATGCGGAAGTGCATGTATTTCATGAGGATGGTGATATAGCGATTATAGAGTTTGTGCATAAAAGTAACATTTGCATAAACCTGAAAAGTGATGAAAGGCTTAGATTGACTACAAATTCTGCACATATGCCATCGTTAATATCCATATGACAGTGGTGCCACATATCAGTCACTGAAGGATTCGACGCAGGTCAATCCAATGCTGGCAATGGTGGCTCATTCTTCTCAACCAGCTCCTCTACCAGGACTATGTTGAGTGCGACTGGAGAGGCTGAAGGTAGTGGGTGACTGATGGACTCAGGGAGAGCACTGGTCAACAGGCTGGTGTTCTGTTGCAGAAACACTAGGGCATCAACATTCCTTTAGAGAGAGAGGGCTGCCCTGAGCTTGTTGACCATGTAGCCGGCAGCAGAGAACACGCGCTCGGATGGGACGGATGTTACAGGTACACATAGCAGTGCCCTTGCCAACTTCTCCAAGTTCGGAAGCCGGTCACCATTCTTGCGCCACCACTCCAACGGGTCGGCTGATGCCGGAGCCGCAGTCGCAGCCTCAGTGAAGAAGGCAGCAACTTCGTTCTGGAGTTTTGTAGAAGCGCTGACCTGGTCATCAGTCACATCACCAAAGAACAGACTGATAGCATCCTCAGATACTGGAGCCCTCTTTGCTGCTGGCTCAGTATCTGAGGCTGGCAAGTATGCCGTACTCCGCCGGAGAATTTCCTGCTGCAGGTCATTGGGGTCACCTGCTCTGAGGAATCCCAGCGATCTGGACCGAGGGTCCAGTGCTGCAGCTACGCAGCTCAGGGAGCAGACATCAATGGGCTCCAAGTGGAACTTGATACTGAGCTCCACACCAATCGATGTTGCAAAATCGGTCAGCGAACGGTTCTTTTAGAAGTTTCTTCCATGACCCATTTCTATCAATACGATTCCCACACAACAAATTCTGATAATTCGAACCTCAAACTGGGCATGTCCGGTTAATTAGAAGTCCCATGGAATCCACTTACATAGAAAATGTGTGGGATATGTGCTGATCATTCGAAGTTAACAAAGAATATTTTGAAGTTCACTGCACATTGTACAACTCAGTGCAGTTTGCACGAGCAGGCAGTTCAGTATCCACGGAATGTGTGTCAAAGGTGCATAGCACAACTGCGTGACAATGCGAGCATTTTGACATACATAAAGTGTTGTGCATGTTGGATAATTAGAATGTCCGTATAGGGGAACGTCCGGATATAAAATAGAAGTTTTTCTCCTGGCATTTTGGTGTTCGATTTATCAGGACTCCACGGTCAACTGACTGATATAGCATATTGCGGGGTGATTGATGCTACCTTCTAACCTTCTGGCCCATCGTGTGTTAAATCTAGTGCACTCTGTACTGAACTAATGCACTGTACAATACTAGTAACATGTACATGTATCTGCTTTTCACACACACACTGTGCAGGTATCGTGAGGGTGAGGCTCCGGACACTGGTGATAAGTCCCGTACTTCTAGTCCTACTGCATCTCGCCAGAAAGACGCCACCGGTGCACCGGGCAAGATCAAGACACCAAAGTTCCGCCCGCATGCCGGTGAGTCTGTGTGCACATACAGTCAGACCTCGCTTAGCCGCACACATCCGTTTTCCAAAAAAATATCCGGATAGGCGGGGAAACCGGAAAATCGAACACACATACTGTATGTATGCATGGCATATGCCGTAAATAGGTAACCAACGATTTTCTTCCGGATGGCAAGGGATCCGGATAAAAGAGGACCGGATAAGCGAGGTCTGACTGCATACCTAAACTTTACTTACTCTACTGAATCATGCCAGAACTACAGTAGTTAGAGAACTAGTTTACTAAGTTACCGGTTTGAAGACCCATTTTTCTTTCCAGGCTCATGGGCTTTGTCCAGTTATTCAGAAGTTACTCAGTAGAGACAGACACACACACACACACACACACACACACACACACACACACACACACACACACACACACACACACACACACACACACACACACACACACACACACACACACACACACACACACACACACACACACACACACACACACACACACACACACACACACACACACACACACACACACACACACACACACACACACACACACACACACACACACACACACACACACACACACACACACACACACACACACACACACACACACACACACACACACACACACACACACACACACACACACACACACACACACATACACACACACATACACACACACACACACACATACACACACACACAGATAGAGACTCTCTCTCTCTCTCTCTTTCTCTCTTGATTACGTCTTCGGAAGTTATCAGAATTTATATCTGTTTCAACGATGCACTTTTCTTTGGTCTTCTGCACTGTTAGATGGCGTACTCGGACTTAGCATGAAAGTCCGATCCGGTGTGTCGCTGAAAACCCTTTGGATGGAGCACCACCGGCGCATTACCACCTCTGGTCATACTGAGTTTGCCGGACGTGCAATGTACCCAGGTCAGAAGGCGCTTCTCTACGCTCATCTAGACTTGGATGGAAGGTAAGCAAGTCAGATTATTGATACAAATTGGAAGCCAACTATACGCAGGCATGCTCAGCAGAGTTGACAAGAACTTGACTAGATACGATGAAATATCAGGCTCAGCTACAATATTCGTATTGTACAAGCTCAGGTGACTGGACCGGACAAAAGGAGCAAGACCTGATACTGACGAGAACTGGAATGAACGTTTCAACATCCATGTACCCGTATCTTCTTCAGACTGCATTCTGGCGAAGACATGGATGTCGAATCCGGTACCCATCAGTATCCAGTACATGTGCGTGTATTGCTCTTCGTGCTGTGTGGCTAGGCTATGTAATCTTGTGTTTTACAGGCATGGTCAGTGAGCTATGTACTCTGATAGCTGTGCTGTACTACTATGTCTTGCGCACTACATGTACGATGTACTTGAAAATAGTTAAAAACTAATATACAGAGGTTTCCCCAATGTGCTGAGAACTGTCCATTGTGTTCATAGATGATGACTATTCCTGATTGCACTGGACTGCATCCTGTGATGTGTTCCGTCTTGTGTTTATGCAGGAAAGCGGCAGCCATGAAGGAACTATGAGCGGCTCATGGTGTAGCCCTCGGCTTGGCTGGTACTATTGTTTACTGACTTGATCCAGCAGCCCCTGTACAGGCGTGAGTTGTTGCTGGTACTCTTGTCGCCACCTAGACTGATCGTGCTGCTTTGTGCGGTGTGACTGTAGCCTTCCCCCTGCTGGGCCCTGCATATACAGTTGTATGCTCTTGTACATAAATGTCTTTGTAGATATAGTGATGTGCTTTGTACATATCTGTAAATTACTGTGTGTTGGCATTCAGACTCCTACTCGCTATTTGTACATGCTCCAGTGCTGCGTGCAACTAGCTTTCTGTAATTACGCTTAGACAAGAGTTTGCTTTGAACATTTTAATTTGAAACTCGGGTATTGGGTATTGTATCTAGTTACAGTGGTGAAGAGTTACTCTCGTTTCCATATGTCCTTTTTCCTTTCTACATTTTAATTTTATAGTTCTTTGGAAGCATATCCCATTTAGAGCCTCGCCTCTGAAATCTCTCTAAGCTCTTGTTCTGTATTTGAACTGTACAGTATCGTCATCAATCTCTAGCTGCTGTCCGATAGTTTAGTGTTGTTTCATGTACCGTAAAATACGGTTGCCCCCCCCCCCTCTAATTCCCGAACCCTCTCGATTACTGTACCTGTGGAGCGACTTCAGCGTACATGCTACTTCGAAATACTAGTATGGCATTGAACCGATGCAGCCATTGCAGCACACAATGCATCCCACTGCAGTCAGGTATTCCCCGCGGATAGAACACTCCAGCATGGCAAGTCTCCTCTTTCGTGCGATTGGGCAAGGTACTCTATTTGACAACCGCCCTTGCTTGGTCTGATTCCCGACCTCGGCCATAATCCAACTGGGCAGCAACACGTAGGAGGCAGATCATCGATAGTTTACGCCGCTGCCCGTACACGTTTCTTATCTATATTACTGCCAGTGACCATGCACGTGACGTTGCTGAGGGGAAACTGCCGGCCCCCTTGTTGCATGTAGAGAGTGTAGATGCTGTGTTGTACAATCATGCACATGTACACCGAACTCAGACCTCAGACCTGCCCATCGTGGAAGCGATGATAGCGAGCAGCTATGTTAGACATAGCAACTTGTGTTGGGATTACACCATTCAACAGCTTGCAAGGCTGATGAATTGGCCATCACTAATTTTAGCCTGGTCTACACCACGCGGCTGATTGAAGCAACACCGAACTACATGTACACCATGTCACACCTTACCGATACTTTCCCAGGGAAGTTATTTTTTGAAGATTCACGGTTATTAAAATTTTTACAGTGACCCGAGCAGACTCGACCCCCCCCCCCCCCCCCCCTCCGTCCTCACCTTTATTGTCCTGGAAAAATTGACCTGGCTTCATGCCATGTTTGCCCATTGAGCTCAGGGACGGCAATGCATGTCTCAATTGTACACCGCCCCGCTTCTGCAAGGGCATGTCATGGTATGGTTTCATGTGTGTCCTGGGGAGAATACCGAGGGTGACACCCAGTCCATGAGAGCCCACCACAGACCCAATTGTGTCCATGCACTATATGTTACCAAGAGTCCAGGGGGATTACCGGTATGGACTCTTGATGCTACTGTAGTAACCCCACCGCAGACCTCAGTGTCCGATGGAAGAAATTTACAAGTGATCAGGCCTGTTTATAATTATATGGGATGACCGCTCAGGAAGTCGTACTGTGTCTGTACGACTCCCTCAGGGACTCAGTGACTTTCGAGCAGGGAATGCAAGTACTAGTACTGCAGCACCCTGCTTTCAGTCATTTAACCAAGGTCAGGTCAGGACTCCAACAAGCCCACACTGGGCCACAGGCCCTGGCCGGAGGGGTTACCACGCCTTGTGACTGATAATGCTCCGCGGCTTCACACGACTCGGGGTATGCATTCGATTGTATTCAGCCAGGAGATATTACTTCTTTCTTCAAGTTTTTGATAGTGCACACGGTCAGTCGAGATTGAAAATTTGCTTATCACCATGTACCAGTACCAAGCCATTGCCAGTCATGCCAAGAGAAAACATAATAGTACTGTAATACTCTTGGACTTGGTCATGCCCACCACCTCCGAGGCTGGCCCCCGCCCCGGTCACGGTGCCCTATAGACCATGTCCGTCTGTGACAGGTACATGTCTGTACAGGATTCACCCGGCCGGGCGCGGGCGCTCGCCGCTAGTGTAGGGCAAGGACACTGTACTGACATTATTATCTGTCATTATCATCAGTCCAGAGTTTTTTTTTATTTGGAAGTTTTGCATTTTCGTCCTCAACCCAGAGGGACTTTTCCCCTGTCCCCAATGATTCCGCGCCAAATTGAAAATGCCACGCGCCTACAATGCAAGATAAAACTACTTGAACGTCAGTTTTGGTCTGATTGATTTCATGCCCAAACACGAAAATGCATGCCCATGACATATCAGCTGGAACGAAAATAGTGTGAACGAGGCTTTGGATTGCTTTGAAACAACATGGCGATTTGTAAATGAAAGGGCCTCCGTGTTGGCTATATCCTTCTTCGATGCCGCCGTGGTCCAGGCAGGCTGCACAAAGCAGTTCTGCACTTACTGTCTCTGTCGAAAAAGTGTTCTTTTGCCGACGACCAAATGCCTGAGAGAAAGAGCAGACACACTGACAATGGAGCGGCGGAGCGCGATGAGGCGACTGCTACTGAGCAACCTGCCGCTGCACATACAACTGCTACAAGGGGACGTGGTACAAAAAGACCACGGCGTGTTGTCAGCCCTGTCCAAGCTCCTGCACAGACTGGTGAGTCAGAGGAAGAAGTTCAGATTTCCATCACACTGCAGCCACAAAAATATAATTCATCATCAGCTGAGAAACACCAAAGCACGCGATGCTGATGTTCTGCACATACTTTTATTTCTCCACCTTAAATGCGTAGTAGCACTGTACATGAAGATATCACAGTGGGGATGCGCCACCCAAACATAGATCTGGCGTGGCGGCCATGCTCAATTTTTGTTATTCCTTTCCTCACCTGTCCACGCCGGCAACACCATGATCGTGAGATGAACGTTAAGCCGTACGGTCGGGTCAACTAGAGGCAAAGCTGGAGTTCAGCTGCCACCCTGGGGATCAGGTTATTTCAGTCTGTAGGTGGCATCAAGAGTACATACCCCCCCCCCCCCCCCCCCCCCCAGAGTGTGCAACGCCTGATCCAGCTCTACATACTGTAGGGTCTTGGTCGAGCGCAATCGGATCTTTGCGTCATAATACCGTACACATCTGAGGGGAACCCGGGGAGTCGCGATCGATCGCGGGGACTCTCGGATCAAAAATAACGGTGCCCTGCCTCGAGACCGGCCTTACGCTGGTGTGTAGTGCACGCATGACATCAGAAGATCCGACTACGCTAGACTAAGACCCTATGCAGAGCTGGATCAGGCGTTGCACACCTTGGGGGGGGGGGGGGGAAGTTATGTACTCTTGGTGGCACGTGAAAACGGTGTGATTGCGGACGCATTGCGCACATTCGATGCCAAAGACCCGACAGTGGCCGTACGGATTAGGTGGGTGCTAAAGCCGGTTGGTTGCTTGACCAGGTTTTACATATACCGCATTTGCTGGTGTATAGTGCGCACCCTGAGCAGTGAATTTTGAAGCTCAAATCTGCAGTGCGCACTACACACCGAATACGAGAATCTAGTACAAAAGTGCCAGAGTTCAAGAGTTCAAGTGCGCACTATACACGTAATGCACTGTATCGTACGAGTGCTCAGGTTCATCGATGTTCGAGAACATCCACGGAAAAAACAATGTTGTTTTCATGTTCACAGTTCGTAATTCCATCAATTTCATAGTCATAGTCTGACTTACCGGAAAATATTCTTAAGTTTCACCATCCTTTGACGAGATCAATTTCAGAACCAAATATCCCCGATTTGACTGCGCATTATACACCGAATAGAGCCATTTTGTGTGAATTTGTGGTTGAAGATTATGGGTGCGCGTTATATAAAGGTGCGCGTAATACTCCGGCAAATACAGTAGTGGAAAAAATACCCCGCACATCTAGTAAAAAGGTTGGTCCGGTCCGGCTCTCACCCAAACAACTGCTGTAATCCTGCACATCAATGTTGACCTGTCACCAGTCTGAACTTGTTCACACAGCAAGTCAACGACCACAGCACCACCATTAACGACCACCGTAGCCATAACCTGTTCTTTCCGCAGGTGGATGTGGAGACATGTGCATAAAATTAATAAATAGGGCACAGTGGAACACTGTAGAGAATGCATTGAGGTTTCATCAATGCGTTTTCTCTTTGCTAAGAAATCTACTCTTCCAATAAGTCTATGGCATGCCATGACATTGGAATGCTGAAAGTACCATCTCTAACACTCAGTGCTGATTGGTTATGTTTCATACTGTACCGACAGACTCGCGCACCTGTCTCTTTGCATATGCAATGAACACACACACGCACACACACATATACACACACACACACGCACACTCTCTCTCTCTCACACCCCCCCCCCCCACACACACAGTCCCAATGTCTGTGTATCCGCCTCAACATTGCCGCACACAGTCCTACCGCTGTCTGGCATCTCCTTGTGTGCAGATTGGCATGTGCCAAGTTGTCTGTGTCCAGTGAGGTCACAATGGCGTTGTTGGTTCTTGGATATGCTTGGTACATTGGTGGTCATAGGGATTGACAATGAATCCAACTCGCAATTTCTCTCACTTGTTATCTGGTCATGTGTTTGTGTTCAGGTGCTGAAAGTCAAGCGAAACGCACCAAGCGTAGTAGTGCCGTATGGTCAGTGTTGGCTAAGGACTCTTTCTTCCAGGCAGTGTGCGATGTAGGTGGTACTGTGCTCTTGTGTGTGTGTGTGTGTGTGTGTGTGTGTGACAATTTTACGCACTCTGTTCTCACCTTTCAATGTGCGGCGATACATCGCCTACGTCCAGTTCATTCCTGGCTTGAATACTCTCACATTCTAATAGCAACAAGTCTGTGCACTTCCTTGAGATATGTACCAGTTTGCACCATTCTACACTCATACTGTCATAGGCCTAGGTATCACTTTATACAGTTGTAAGTCACACCATCTGCAGTATTCACCCATCTCCTTTTAATATCGGCCATACCATAATTATTGCAATATAGTTACCGGTAATATTTGCTAGCATTCCTCCATCTCCAACTCTGGTGAATAGTCTGTTTGACATTTTGTGTTTGCCTTAACAGTAGTTGCTGTATTGTTGCAGCTGAGTAGCATTTTGCTGGCCCAATGTGGCTGTTGCTGCTGCTGGTGCTCTGGTTCCTTCTCACTCACTCACTCACTCACTCACACTCTTGCTCATTCCGACTGTGGTTGCTGCAGCTGCTTTTCTCTCATTCGTTCACTCACTCGCTTTCTCTCTGTCTCTCTGCCTCTGTTTCTCTGTCTCTCTCTCTCTCTCTGTCTCTCTCTCTCTCTCTCTCTCTCTCTCTCTCTCTCTCTCTCTCTCTCTCTCTCTCTCTCTCTCTCTCTCTCTCTCTCTCTCTCTCTCTCTCTCTCTCTCTCTCTCTCTCTCTCTCTCTCTCTGTCTGTCTCTCTCTCTCTCTTTCTCTCTCTCTCTCACACACGCTCACTTCTCTCTCTCTCTCTCTCTCTCTCTCTCTCTCTCTCTCTCTCTCTCTCTCTCTCTCTCTCTCTCTCTCTCTCTCTCCCCCTCCCTTTCATCTGCTCAGCATGGCAGAGACTTTGACCGTATCCAGGCGTACATGGCACGTCAGGGCAGGGCAGAGGACTCATCGCAGGCCTCCAAAAACAAAGACCAGGTTTGTTACACTGTAGACATAGTGCTGCTTGAAACTGTTAGCTCTTTGTAGACACCCACGTTTATTGTATGTCCACTCATTGCGTTTCTGTTGGGACTGTGTGTTGACTTGTTTGATGATAGAAAGTTGTAAATGGTGTGCAACGAGGAATGGCTGCGTCTTTTGTTACCTGGTCTGGATATGAACAGCTCTGCTGCGCACTTGTATCATGACCTTCATCCTTGTAACTACAGTACCAAAGAATAATGATCCTACCATTTATTTATTTATTGTTCAACATCTCCTGGCTCGTCGTAAGACTGCCAATATTTATGAGAAGTCGGGTGGTAGCCAACCACGGCGAAATAAACAATAAAGAGAAACACAAAAGAGAGTACTGCAAGGAGAGGCATGACTAATCAGCGGATTGCTGAAATACGGTGGCCTCTTGACCAGACTTAAATCTGTGTGTATCGGTGTGTGCTTGTTAGGTGCGGCACATGTACTACCGCACCTGGACCAAGGTTCAGAAGATGTTCCTGCGTGGCGGAAGTGAGTCCAAAGCGAATCCGATGTCAACTATTTGTGTGCATGATGTTTAGTTTTTCAAGGATACTGTACCATGAACTCTTTTAGTGTTACATACAGTGTGGTGTCCCACAACTTGTTTTTTGGTTCTGTTCCACCAGTCTGGGAAATCATCTTTGAGTGTGTGCCATGTACATGATGTCCTGAAGCACGAGTACAGTTTGTTGCAATGCTGTGGCCAAGGTGTATATGTGAACAAACAAACAAACAAAAAACAAGTGTGACATGGTGTATTTGTTTTCAATTTTTCCTTCTTTCTACTCACACAGCCCTGCATGAGCTGAGGCGTGGCGGCAAGGCTTCCGATTCCTCATCCAATGCTGCAGCGGCTGCTGCCGCTGCCATGGCTGCTGCTAACGCTGCTAGTTCAGCAGCAGCAGCAATGGCAACGGCAGCAGTATCAACGTCTGAGCCGTCTCCGGAAGCGACCAGGCCAGTAGACGAGGCTAATAACACATCATCGCCTACCAACTCGGACAAACAATCTCAGGAAGATCACGATGTAAGAGGATTGAAGAGCATACTATGTCTTGCTGCTTATCCTGACGTGACTTGAAAAGGATTGTTTGTTCGCCAGTAGGATGGTTCATACAGAGTGGGGAAATTGCAATGTGCAATCAGTGCCAATCACACATGTATTGATGCTGTTTTACTACTGTATAATTCAGGGCTCGTCTTCACCTTCTACAGTCAATGGTGTGTCAGCCAGTACCACTGCAGCTCCAGTGTCCACAGCGGCTGCTTCTGTTGTCACAACAAATGTGCCCACGACAGTCCCCGGTACGAAGACAGCTGTAGCAGCAGCTGCGGCAGCGGCAGCAGCTGCCCAAGCCACCGAGCGTGCACGCAGCTACATCCACGACACCAAGAACAGCGATCTTCTGATAATGATCGGCTTTGCAAAGCTGCGCAAGCGTTGCAGTAAGTGTGTGGAGTGCGTCGGTGTGTGTGAGCACTGAACACTGAACAGCATGCAAGACTGCCGGTGTGTCTGGGGTGTTAGTTGTGTTCAGGCTTGTCCTAGATAAGTGTGTTTACTTTAGACAAGGGACCGGCATTCAGGTACCCAGATGTTTTTGCAGATTCAAGGGTTTCTTGCAAAAACCTCATGCATTTAGAATTGTTAGAGGTTTTTTCGCGGTATAACTTACAACCGCTTGTGTTGTTCACCCATTGCGTATGTTTGTTGTTCATCTTACAACAGCCCGTGGGTGTGGGTGTCCGTATGCCCGTGTGTTTTGGTGTCCGTGTGTGTGTGTGTGTCGTGCGTGTGTTGTGCGTGTGTCGTGCGTGTGTCGTGCATGTTCACCTGTTCTCTTTATCCTGCAGGTAAGAGTGGTGACAAGTTTGCCTCGAAACTCTATGAAATCGTCACGTCTGGGTATGTTACACTGTAGTAAACTGCAGTAGCAGTGTCATCATGTATTTGTTTAGCTGTTTCTAATTTATTTGTGTCCGGAGGCCTGTTTGAATTTCAGTTAGGCAGAACAGAGTGTGCATGTCAATGCTGTGGATAGGAATAGTAGGCACATCATGTACAAGTAGTACTGATAGTATAATTATTTTGAAGGCTGCAGCTACTTGCGGCTGGCTTGTCCCTGGTACTGCATACCAGCCCCGTCTGTGTACAAGCAGTTACCATACATAGGAACTTGTGCAGTGGCTCCTTGCTTTGCTCAACTTGGACACCTGTGCATGTATAAGTGAGCATTCTGTATCCATGGGAGGTACTACTGTATGCAGGGGCGTCAGTCACTACGGTATTGACCGTACCACTTTTTGCCCCAGGTACCCTGCGAATCAATAAAATACACTGATCTGGGTTCTAAATTTCCGAAAATGTCGGCTCAGCAACCCTCCCCACAGTAAATTGTACTTCAGATGGCTGACCGTACCACAC